GTCATCAGAGGAGTCTGCCTGCCATGTCATCAGAGGAGTATGCCTGCCATGTCATCAGAGGAGTCTGCCTGCCATGTCATCAGAGGAGTCTGCCTGCACATCAGAGAGTCTGCCTGCATGTCATCAGAGGAGTCTGCCCTGCCTGTCATCAGAGGAGTATGCCTGCCTGCCATCAGAGGAGTCTGCCTGCCATGTCATCAGAGGAGTCTGCCTGCCTGCCATCAGAGGAGTCTGCCTGCCATGTCATCAGAGGAGTCTGCCTGCCTGCCCATCAGAAGGAGTCTGCCTGCCATGTCCATCAGAGGAGTCCCATCTGTGAATAACGAAAAGTTAATAAGTTATTGCCACGCTTTCACATAGAGGCCTAGTTCAAACCGCAATTTTAAACACAAAAAGGCAAATGGTAGCAGATACAGTGGGGAAAAAAGTATTTAGTCAGCCACCAATTGTGCAAGTTCTCCCACTTAAAAGATGATGAGGCCTGTAATTTTCATCATAGGTACACGTCAACTATGACAGACAAAATGAGGGAAAAAAATCCAGAAAATCACATTGTAGGATTTTTTATGAATTTATTTGCAAATTATGGTGGAAAAGAAGTATTTGCTTACAAGCAAAAACTAAAGCAGGATGTACCAGTGACTCGCTAAATACAGAAGTGGTCAGATGACGCGGATGCTAAGCTACAGGACTGTTTTGCTAGCACAGACTGGAATATGTTCCGGGATTCATCCAATGGCATTGAGGAGAATACCACCTCAGTCACCGGCTTCATCAATAAGTGCATCGATGACGACGTCCCCACAGTGACCGTAAGTACATATCCCAACCAGAAGCCATGGATTAGAGGCAGCATCCACCCGGACTAAAGGCTAAAGCTGCTAATTTCAAGGAGCGGGACACTAATCCGGACGTTTATAAGAAAATCCGTTATGCCCTCAGACGAACCATCAAACAGTCAAACAGGACTAAGATTGAATCATACTACACCGGCTCTGACCCTCGTCGGATGTGGGAGGGCTTGCAAACTATTACGGACTACAAAGGGAAACCCAGCCGCGAGCTGCCCAGTGACACGAGCCTACCAGACGAGCTAAATGCCTTTTCTGCTCGTTTCGAGGCAAGCAACACTGAAGCATGCATGAGAGGTAACCTGACTAAATGAATACCGTCCCGTAGCACTCACGTCGGTAGCCATGAAGTGCTTTGAAAGTCTGGTCATGGCTCACATCAACACCATCATGCCGGAAACACTAGACCCACTCCAATTCGCATACCGCCCCAACAGATCCACAGATGACGCAATCTCAATCGCACTCCACACTGCCCTTTCCCATCTGGACAAAAGGAACACCTATGTGAGAATGCTGTTCATTGACTACAGCTCAGCGTTCAACACCATAGTGCCCTCAAAGCTCATCACTAAGCTAAGGACCCTGGGACTAAACACCTCCCTCTGCAACTGGATCCTGGACTTCCTAATGGGCCACCCCAAGGTGGTAAGGGTAGGCAACAACACATCTGCCACGCTGATCCTCAACACTGGGGCCCCTCAGGGGTGCGTGCTTAGTCCCCTCCTGTACTCCCTGTTCACCCACGACTGCGTGGCCAAGCACGACTCCAACACCATCATTAAGTTTGCTGACGACACAACAGTGGTAGGGCTGATCACCGACAATGATGAGACAGCCTATAGGGAGGAGGTCAGAGACCTGGAAGTGTGGTGCCAGGACCACAACCTCTCCCTCAATGTGAGCAAGACACAGGAGCTGATCGTGGACTATTGGAAAAGGAGGGCCGAACAGGCCCCCATTAACATCGACAGGGCTGTAGTGGAGCGGGTCGAGAGTTTCAAGTTCCTTGGTGTCCACATCACCAATGAACTATCATAGTCCAAACACACCAAGACAGTCGTGAAGAGGGCACGACACCACCTTTTCCCCCTCAGGAGACTGAAAAGATTTGGCATGGGTCCCCAGATCCTCAAAAAGTTATATAGCTGCACCATCGAGAGCATCCTAACCGGTTGCATCACCGCCTGGTATGACAACTGCTCAGCTTCTGACAGTAAGGCACTACAGAGGGTAGTGCGTACGGCCCAGTACATCACTGGGGTCAAGCTTCCTGCCATCCAGGACCTCTATACCAGGTGGTGTCAGAGGAAGGCCCTAAAAATTGTCAAACACTCCAACCACCCAAGTCATAGACTGTTCTCTCTGCTACCGCACGGCAAGCGGTACCGGAGCGCCAAGTCTAGGTCCAAAAGGCTCCGTAACAGCTTCTACCCCCAAGCCATAAGACTGCTGAACAGTTAATCAAATGGCTACATTGATGGAAGTTACAATCTATCTGCAATATTAAGCTGATCTACTCCCTTAGAAAAATATAAAATAATAATAATGGCTACCCTGACTATTTTAATTGACCCCCTTTTTTACACTGCTGCAACTCGCTGTTTTATGATCTATGCATAGTCACTTTACCCCTACCTACATGTACATATGACCTCAATTACCTCGACTAACCTGTACCCCGCACATTAACTTGGTACCAGTACCCCCTGTATATAGCCTCGCTATTGTTATTTTGTCTTTTTTTATAACTTTAGTTTATTTAGCAAATATTTTCTTACTCTGCATTGTTGGTTAAGGGCTTGTAACAAATAACATTTGATTTGATTTGGTTAAAAGATAAGCTCTTCGAACTTTCAGACTGCCATTGTTTTGGGGAAAAAGGGTCTATTTCGCCAAACATCTCAAAATGTGTGTATTTTGATGTTTTGAAGTTCTACACCATTTTAATCAGGATAACCTATTATTTCTAATGATGTAAGTTTGGGCAGCGTACTATGCTGTGACCAATTGCTGTTAGTTAAAACATCAAAAATATAACATTTACTCATGGAACTCTGAGGTATTCCCATCAAAAGCTAGCATTTAAAATGTCCGAAATTACACATTACTGTTGGAACTCTGAGGCTGCCCCATTGTTTCCCTATGGGAGAATTGTAAATGGACATGTCCGTCTATTTTGCCACATATCTCACAATGTGTATATTTCGATTTTATTCAAGTCGGACACCATTTTAAGCATGAGAATCTCCTCTTTCTAATGATGTACGTCTGGGCAGCGTACTCCGTTGTCATCAAACGCTAGCCCTGATATACTTTTTGCACTTGGAACTCTGAGCTCCCCCCAATGTCCTGCTATCTCTATTTGACATTGTGTCCATGATTTGACAGATGTAATCTATCATCATAGCTAGTTATGCTAGATAACTGAGTCATTCGGGTCATAAGAAGAAGTTGGAGTGAGGGACATCAGTTTAGTAGCTAGTCAGCACAGGTGTAGCATAGAAGTGATTCCCCCGCCCAAGCCCTCTCAGGAGTATAGTGTGTGATGATCAAGCTAGCATCACTCTGCACTGATCCTTTGGATGGCCATCGGAATTAATTGCCTGAGCTGTCCCAGATAGGCTTACACTTTAGGCACTCTTAGAACGGTGCCCTCCATGGCACTACTCAGCTCTACTTTGTAGGAAATCAAGATTTGGCTATTTTTCAATGTCATTATATACTGTATACACTGAGTGTACAAAACACCTTCCTAATATTGTGTTGCACCCCCTTTTGCCCTCGGAACAGCCTCAATTCGTCGGGGCATGGAGTCTACAAGGTGTCGAAAGCGTTCGACAGAAATGCTAGCCCATGTTGACTCCAATGCTTTCCACAGTTGTGTCAAGTTGGCTGGATTTCCTTTGGGTGGTGGACCACTCTTGATACGCACGGGAAACTTTTGAGTATGAAAAACACAGCAGCGTTGCAGTTCTTGACACAGTCAAACCGGTGCGCCTGGCACCTTCTACCATACCCCGTTCAAAGGCAATTAAATATTTTGTCTTGCCCATTCACCCTCTGAATGGTACACATATACAATCCATGTCTCAATTGCCTCAAGGCTTAAAAATCATTATTTATCCTCCCCATCATCTACACTGATTTAAGTGGATTAAACAAGTGACAGCAATAAGGGATCATAGCTTTCATCTGGTCAGGTCTATGCCATGGAAAGAGCAGGTATTCCTAATGTTTTGTATACTCAGTGTAGGTGTGCTGTTTAAGTGAGGAGTGTCCCCTTTCATATACACCTGACCCTCTCTATTGATGTCTTGCAGGTTTTCCAGGTCATGGTGTAAAAGAGCAGTTTTTTCCCGCAGTGAGAGGGAAGAAGCAGTCGTGTTGTGTTCGTGTTTGAAGTTTGGAATCCGTCAGGCTCAGAGGGAGGCAGAGACCGTGGACTGGAGCTGCTGGAAAAGGAGGGGGAGGAGGGAGGAGAATGGAACAAGCCCACAGTTTGCTCCTGAACGAGGAGGCATGCAGCCAGCTGGGAGAACACCAGAGGGCCGACGAGTTTGTCTTTGAGTGGCTGCGCTTCCTGAAGAAACTGCAGACAGGGTGAGAGGGGGAAGAGGAGGGGAAGGGAAGGAAAGGGAGAGGGGAATGGAGAGGAGAGAGAGAAAGACCCCAGTGGGCGCTTGCAGACAATGGTCTCCCCTGTGACAGAGTTCGGTACATCCCCAAGCAAGGGCTGAGATTAGCCCACCGCTCTTTTCTGTGGCTGTCTCTTTCAGCAGGATGTAAGTCAGTCTGTCTTTCTGGCAATGATTAAAGCAGTGAGTGCTGTAAAGGCTAAATCACGCTCTGCTCGACTGGTTCCGTGTCATGAAGAAAAAATGAACTACACGCACTACAGATTAAATGTTGATGTGATTTGTCTTGCCAGTTGCCATCATCATTTTAAAAAACATCAGTTGCTCAGCGTGCAATACTGTTAGTTTATGAAAAATCCTTTTGGCTATGCAAGTCATGTTGAAAATGAATGCTGCCTCACTGTGAGATCTGTTTTATGTAGTTACTGTCATCTATGTCATGTCTATAAATATTGATGGTTTAATGTTGACTTTAACTCTGTGCTCTTGAATGCAAGACAAATTCTTGTAAATGAACCGAACTGAACTGAGTATATCTCTCCCAGGTGGATGTGAAGATGAATCAGAAGTGTCTGGTAGAACAGTTGACTGTGGTTCTGACTGGTTCTTCGGCCCTCCATCCCGCTGGCTCCTAGCGCACTGCCAGGCCCTGCTCTACAGGGTGGGAGACTCACTCACCTCCAGCCTCACTGCGGACAGGTGCAATGACATCATCCACAGCAAGGAAGACTCGCTCAGCTACCTGCCAACCCGAATAAAAGTACAGTAGCATACTGCAGCTGAATCGTGTCTGGAGGCCAATTACTCAGCCCAGCTGGCCCTTCTCATGGAGCTGGTGTCCCACACGTAAGCCACCCAGACCCCTGCATACGCTGTGTGCTGCAGATGCTGCATCTCCTTCATCCTCAGGACCACACTGGGCTCTCTGCTGGGGGAGAAGGCTCAGATCGCTGCAGCCAAGGAGATCTGCCTGGCCATAGGCAAACAGAAGAGGGCTGTTGGTGAGAGGACGTTTTAATACACCATTACTCATTGAATAACAGGGCAGGGATTGGTTGTTGAAAGATGTGTCACTTCTTGACTGGCACATAGGCTTTTTCCAAATTCTTCTCTCCTTGATTTTTCACGTCCTCTCTCCCTGCCTCCTCAAAACACATTGGTGGATAAGGTCAGAGTGGAAGGACCTAGGATCTTCTCCTCCAATGTAGTGTGAGAAGGAAGGGAGGACGCAAGGAATCTAGGAAAGGCGATTGATAAAAAGTCAATTTGTTTGAGTGGTTAGAAGAATGATGATCTCATACAGGCCTTATGATGTCATTATGTGCATGTCAGCCTTTCAGATTGACAGTAATGCCTCTAAAGTGGTGTTGCTTGGTGGTCATGGTGATGTGTATGTGCATTTCCCCTCCTCCTCAGATGGGTCACCACCACAGACATAGCTGCCAGTCAGCTTGTGTTGGTTGTGCACCCTGCTGGAGCTGGGTAGCCTGGTACAGGGTCTGTTAAATGCCGTATTATGGGAAGGCTGTGTGTTTTCTGCTGTGTGTGCAGTTGATGAGAGGGTTGAGTGTGCTATGGACTGCTCCATAGAGTTAGGAGAGAGAGAGAGAGAGAGGAGGAGAGAGGAGGCAGAGAGAGAGAGAGGCAGAGAGAGGAGAGAGACGGAGAGGGAAGAGAAGAGAGAGAAGGGGAGGAGAGAGAGGGAGAGGAGGGAGAGAGAGAGAGAGAGGAGGGGAGAGAGGAGAAGGAGAGGAGAGGACGAGAGACAGCGTGCGAGAGAGAGAGCGAGAGAGGGGAGATGAGGAGAGAGAGAGAGAGAGAGAGAGAGAGAGAGACAGAGGAGAGGAGAGAGAGAGAGGAGAGAGAGAGAAGAGATAGCGAGAGAGAGAGAGAGGAGAGAGAGAGGATAGTGAGTGACAGTAACAGAGAGAGAGGGAGGGTGGGAGAGAGGGAGAATAGGGAGGGAGCGAGAGTGACAGAGAGGGAGGGAGGGTGGGAGAGAGGGAGGGTGGGAGATAGGGAGCGAGAGTGACAGAGAGAAAGAAGAAAGAAGAGAGAGAGGTATCAGAGATTAATGGGTCACACTCAAATCGCCTGGGCAGCCGACCCAGCATTTTGTGCTAAACAACATTAGTCTATATGAAGAGTTTATATCTACCAATTTTTCACAGTTGTGTTTTTTCATCTGAAATTATTGCTTATGGGTGGGTACCTTCATGTGTGTAGAAAATATTACTGTTCTCAGATTTTTTATTCATAGATTTTAGGTGTGTATTAACATGTTTTTTTGTAAAAGCTATATATCCATTGTTTAGCTGGAATGGAATGTTCATATACTGTATATTTGACTGTGATATGTGGTTGTCTCACCTAGCTATCTTAAGATGAATGCACTAATTGTAAGTCACTCTGGATAAGAGATCTGCTAAATGACTAAAATGTAAATGTTTTGTAAATCTCTTGTTACTGTATTGATTTTTTTGTTAGTTTTTTATATTGATATCACAAATGTATTATTTGTAGAATTCTTTATTAAAATGTTTGTTATTTGTTACATTGGACTGTGTAAAACCTAGCAGTACAACTTATTTCTCTGAGAGTGAGGCGGCTATATAGCGATTTGCAAAATAACATGATTATTTGTCTCTGAAATGAAACCATCAAGTGCTAGATTTCAAACAAATACATAACTGTCGTTGAACAACCCCATGCCATGATTAGATAGTGAAAAAACACCAATCTCTTTCATAAGTTCAATAAAAGGTAATTTACCAACATTTCTGAAAATGGATATATGGCATTTTGGAAAGAAACTTAATTTCTTTAATGCAAGTGTCATGAGGGGATACGAATATAACGGAGCCAGAGGCAGACAGAGCCAGCCTCTACAAGTCTCTACAAAGTCTCACATAAACTAGGTTTTCATCCAATTGGCGACAGATTTCCATGTAAATATTCTAAAATCAGCATAAAGGAAATATGCGCATTTCCTCACCATTTATGTGTTTCCACCAAATCAGTGCTTGATGACGTATTGCACACAAAATATACCAAATAAAAATCTCAAATTCAATGTGTTTCCATCGCATTTTCAACTCTACCGATAGTTTTGCCACAAAAACTGTTGCGTTAAATAGCAAATGTGCCTACTCTAGTTTTAGCACGTGCGCTCAAGCCAACAGCTCGCAGATACAGTGTGGGTAGGCTAGTCTACGTGATGAGATTATTATGGATGAGAGCAATAATATTTGTCATTTGTTTCCCGAATCGTAGTGACTCCAAGTTTACTTCGATATGATGGTTATTATATCAATATTTGCGCATAAAGGCATTTTTTACCAACACAAAAAGATCCCACCATGTCGAACAAACAAATTATCTGTCTGCATTTATGAAATTGTACTGAAACTTCCTGTTTCCATCACAGCTGTGATTTCTTTGTATTTGGTATGACTTTACTCGCATAAAAACTGTGGATGGAAATGTGGTTATAGACAGTCATCAATTCAACCCAACAAACGCTCAATGCCCAATATACTGTACAGTATGTGTGTGCCTGTATGTATTGTTATAACATACTGTTAGACACATTTTAACTGGCTTTTTCTGTGGTGTCCGTCCCTCTCTTCTCAGCCCTGCTGAACACAGTTTTCTCCGTTCTGCTCCACCCCAGTGTGTCAGCACGGTTAGCCGCCGCCTGGTATCTACGCTGCGCAGCTGTGGCCCTGCCTTCTCAGGGAGCCGTGCTGCTGGACCGCTGTGCAGAGAGGCTCAACGCCCTCAAATCCTGCCTTGAGGCCGTGGCCGGGTACAGCGCCGCTATCGCCGCCCTGCTGGGGGCCGTGCAACACTGCTCACTGGGCATCCCCCACACTAAAGGCAGGGTAAGGACTGAGACTGACTTCATCTGGGTAACCTAGCAACAACTATACATAGCCATGTGTATAGTTGAGGTCTTGTAGTTACAGTATTAGTGATTTATGGCTGTTTAATGGCTCCTCCATAGTTCAATTAGATGCTCCACTAAATCAGTGGGAGCTGATGTATTAGTACAGGTATCTAAATGATAAGTGACCGTCTGTTCCCAGGTGGTGACAGGTCTGGCCGAGGACCTGCTTCGTTCAGCCACTCAGAACAGCCGCATCTCCATCCAACACAGGCTGGCTGGCTGCTGCTGTCCGCCCTCACTCAACACGCTAGGTATGTCCATCCTCCACCCTCTGCTGATGTGTGCTGGACCAATGGAAATGTATGGCCTTGTTAAAAAATCTGGGACTTTCTCAGACCTTGCCAACTACTGCTATCTTAAATCTTAAACAGCTGTGTGTGAAAGGGATCCTATCTCAATGAGATGAACCTGTATGAATAAAGGTTAAATAACTTATTATTTAGGTCCAGCGGTGGTTGACCACCACCTCCCCAGGATGCTGCTGCTGTGGAGGTGTTCCTTCCCTCCCTCCATCAGAGACCTGGACATGGAGCTCCGCCATGGGGACCACTTCACCTGGCAGGTCAACCCTGGAGGGCCATACTGGAGGGCTGTGTGGTGAGCAACACACACGGACACACACACACATACACACACAGTTGTCTGTTAAGGAGTTTTCTGTTGATGGCCATGTCTATGTTCATTAAGACGTGTATGTTGCTTTTCCATTCCAGCCATGAAAAGCCTGGTGGTTCACTGCAGAGATCTCCTGTTTGATGACGTTATAGGTAGTCTCCTCACGCTTCTTGCCTGTGCTGTGGCTCTGCTCACCAAGTGAGACATCGGCAGGCCTCTGCCATAGGCCATGTTCCAATGGCCATACAGTATGGACCATACTAGCGTATCACTTAGAATACATGCCTATTACATTTATCCATACTAAGTGGTACGCTAGTGTGGATATTTGAACAGAGCCTGTACAGACTACAGAGTACCCTGTCTATCTGAGTATATTCTCACACTTCACCTTCTAACAACTATCACTGATGAAGACAGCCACTTGGCTCTGGTCCTAAGGTTACCATGGAAGCTAAAAGTAACTCCATCCTAAAAGGTGATATCCAGGACGTTTCTGGTGCGTTGTCAAGTCCCCACTTAACCTCTCGAACACTGTAGATGCCTGCTCAAGGACACAGCTAGCCAAACTGCTTCTCCTTCTGAGGACTGATGGTGAATCTCGTTTTCGTTTCTGACTGTTAACGCGAGGCTGACTGAAACCCATCTATGTGAATTGCAGGGTTCCTACTTTGATTAAATCCTATGAATACCAGATTAAAAACTCCTCGGTAGTCTTCAGACTGAGGGTCTATGAGGTCCTGGCTCTGCTACCCCCAAAGACATTTGAAGGTGAGAGCTCTTTTAAACGCTACTCTCAGAGACTTGAATGTTAGTAATAGCTAAGAGGATATTCGTGATAACTTTCATGTCTATGTAAAATCACATTGAGCTTGTGATGTTGACATGAATGCTGGACATATTTGTTGGACATTTCTCTACAGTATATAAAATAACATGGCTTTGTTGTTGAAGTGAGGGCAGTAGCTAGTAGCTTGGTCCTAACCCCAGATATGTAACTCTGATTTTCCCCATACACCCACCCACCCATCCACCCACCCATCCACCATCCATCCATCCATCCATCCATCCATCCATCCATCCATCCATCCATCCATCCATCCATCCATCCATCCATCCATCCATCCATCCATCCATCCATCCATCCATCCATCCATCCATCCATCCATCCATCCATCCACAAAGAGAGTTTTGGCATCGTGCTGAAGCAGCTGGTGACAGACCTGACTGGGCCAGAGAACTTGGTGTGTTCAGAGCTGACGTTACTACCCCCCCTCAGAGTGGTTGGGTTAAATGCGGAAGACAAATTTCAGTTGAATGCATTCAGTTGTACAACTGACTAGATATCCCCTTTCCCTTTCTGTCACAGTGATGACCTGGCACAACTTGGCCCTGCTCTGCAGGACATGGACCAGCGCTACATAGAAGAACAGGTCTGCCTGAGGCCAAAGGGCGCTGTCACCATAAATTACAAATATAACTAATGTATAGAATCTCTGTCACACTCAATCACTTGGTGCTGTAAACAGTAGAAATGGTATGCATCTATTAGTCCATTTAGATTTGTGAAGGAGGCAGAGGAGAGGAAGGTCTGTCTGTTGGGTATAGTCTAGGCTAGTGGTTCCCAAACTTTTTCACTCAGGCCCCACTTCCATCATTGGGGAACATTCCATGCCCGCACTCCTTTGTCTGTGGTGTCTGTCCTCTGTCCTCTGTCCACCGCTTTGTTATCAGAGCAGCATCTTTATACTGTTTCTTTTCACTCAATGAGGAACTAAATGGTGTTTGTGGGTGGGTGGTTTTCTTGTGAAAGTGAGATTCAGCACTCAACTTCTTTCTCACAGTTCAAGTTACCTTTTTAAGTGTTGGGGACTGTTCATGACTACTCTTTACAGCAGAGATGGGTTTGATGTTTTTGAAAAAGAAGCTCATAAGAGAGCAACAGGCTTTTGGAGAATTTCAGTTTAGGAGACTAACTCCCGCACACTGTGTGCATAAAACATCAGGTAAAAATAGAAACATATTGAGAGAAAAAAAAATATTACCACATTGCACATCACGGTGTAGAGACTGAAATGTTCAGATACAAGTTAACTTTGTAACGATAAAGGAGACTGGAGTCAGAGGTAATAGCTTTAATACAGAGTGCTCTGGGTACAAGTAGTCACACCCAGATGCAAACACTAGTACAAAGTGAAACTTCCTTCGTCTAGAGATTATATATATTGACTTAAGAATGTACTTTAGTGTCACACTTATGTACGTTTCTTATAAAGGGGATGACCTTTATCACAGTGTTGCTTGCTGCTTATGGTAAATGCTCTATCTCTGCGGCATACTCTCCTGTGAGTCTTCTGCATTTTAAATGAAACAGAAGCTTTCAGTCGAATATCAGGAAGTTTGTGGTTAGCTTCTCGAGACATGCAGCTTCATATTTGGTACTTGTGTAAGGGTCATGTCTAGTACACAGGGTGATGGAAATGGAACAAATGGAACTGAAGGAGGAAACAGTGTCACCAGTTAAAGCAAGTTTTTCTAAGGTTGACTGTAGCAGGCCTTATTCAATGATATGATCACACAGAACAATGAAAGGATGTGTGTGTGTTCACTGTATCTCCTGGCCTGTCCACTGGACATGCTGGCCTCTTCAGTCGTCCACTGGACATACTGGCCTCTACAATAGGCTAGGTTTTGGTACATTTCAGTTTAGGACACTAACTCCCATACACTGAGTGTGTACATAAAACATCAGGACCCGTATCCACATTGCATCTCAGAAAAGGTCCACGGAATCCTGTTAAAACCTGTTTTAAGACTACAACAAAAAATCCCAGTTCAGAGTAGGTTTTAGGATGATAAGACACTGCCCAGACAAAGTCTGAACCAGGTGTAAAATCAACTCATAAAAGTTTATCTCAGCTGGTAATCTCAACAGTTTGAGGTACAGCAAAGGAAAGATAGTGATGACAATCATAAACATTGTTGCAAATGATGGGGAATAACCAATCGCGATGACGCATCGCCAGCTGTGCATACTTACATTTTTACATTTTAGTCATTTAGCAGATGCTCTTATCCAGAGCGACTTACAGTACTTACGGAGAATCGAACCCACAACCCTGGCGTTGCAAACGCCATGCTCTACCAACTGAGCTACATCCCCTGCCGGCCATTCCCTCCCCTACCCTAGACGACGCTGGGCCAATTGTGCGCCGCCCCATGGGTCTCCCGGTCGCGGCCGGCTACGACAGAGCCTGGATTCGAACCAGGATCTCTAGTAGCACAGCTAGCACTGCGATGCAGTGCCTTAGACGACTGCGCCACTCTTCAGACAACCACGGTGAATGTGACTGTAGGTAAAACGTTTTATATAATTTTCGCATGACACAATCACTTAGCCTACTCTGCCTACTTAGCTAATATGTTGACATACATATTTTTTTAACCAATTCTGATGGTTGTTAAAAGCTGGATTTTGATACCGGTATATCAAAACACTTGTCACTCCCGTTTAACAACTCTAAATCGCTTTGGCACAGTTGGAATCAAATCATTTGCAGATAATGTTGCATAAAACCTTTTAAAGGTCTATCATTTTCATTGAACACAATCAATGTTAGCATAGGCCCTAGATGCCTTGAATTGCCCAACTTATAGGCATTCCCAATTTAGGCATATTTTATAACAACATGATATTGAGCTCCAAAGGGATAACTTGAAATAACAAGTTGTAGGTGTCATGCCCTGACTCAGGGGACTCGTATATGTTGAGTCAGGGTGTGTATATTCCTTGTTGTATATATTCTATGTTGTATGTCTAGTATGTATAGATCTATGTTGGCCGGTGTGGTTCCCAATCAGAGGCAGCTGTCGCTCGTTGTCTCTGATTGGGGACCATACTTAGGCAGCCTATTGGCACTGTCTAGTTGTGGGATCTTGTTCCGTGTAAGGTATGTTGTGTGTTCTACCTTGGACTTCACGTTTCGTTTCAGTTGTTGTTTTGTCGTTGTGTTTATAAGTTAATAAACATGTACGTATATCACGCTATGCCTTGGTCTGACCCGTCATTAAATGAACGTGACAGTAGGTTAATTAAATAATCAAAATATTTTTTTCAGCTTGGTGAGAAGGCAACAACTGTTGCCGCAATTATTAGAAAATGGAAGAAGTTCAAGATGATGGTCAATAACCCTCGGTCTGGGGCTCCATGCAAGATCTCACCTCGTGGGGCATAAATGATCATGAGGAAGGTGAGGGATCAGCCCAGAACTACACGGCAGGACCTGGTCAATGATCTGAAGAGAGCTGGGACCACAGTCTCAAAGAAAACCATTAGTAACACACTACGCCGTCATGGATTAAAATCCTGCAGCGCACGCAAGGTCCCCCTGCTCAAGCCAGTGCATGTCCAGGCCCGTCTGAAGTTTGCCAATGACCATCTGGATGATCCAAAGGAGGAATGGGAGAAGGTCATGTGGTCTGATGAGACAAAAATAGAGCTTTTTGGTCTAAACTCCACTCGCCGTGTTTGGAGGAAGAAGAAGGATGAGTACAACCCCAAGAACACCATCCCAACCGTGAAGCATGGAGGTGGAAACATCATTCTTTGGGGATGCTTTTCTGCAAAGGGGACAGGACGACTGCACCGTATTGAGGGGAGGATGGATGGGGCCATGTATCGCGAGATCTTGGCCAACAACCTCCTTCCCTCAGTAAGAGCATTGAAGATGGGTCGTGGCTGGGTCTTCCAGCATGACAATGACCCGAAACACACAGCCAGGGCAACTAAGGAGTAGCTCCGTAAGAAGCATCTCAAGGTCCTGGAGTGGCCTAGCCAGTCTCCAGACCTGAACCCAATAGAAAATCTTTGGAGGGAGCTGAAAGTCCGTATTGCCCAGCGACAGCCCCAAAACCTGAAGGATCTGGAGAAGGTCTGTATGGAGGAGTGGGCCAAAATCCCTGCTGCAGTGTGTGCAAACCTGGTCAAGACCTACAGGAAACGTATGATCTCTGTAATTGCAAACAAAGGTTTCTGTACCAAATATTAAGTTCTGCTTTTCTGATGTATCAAATACTTATGTCATGCAATAAAATGCAAATTAATTACTTAAAAATCATACAATGTGATTTTCTGGATTTTTGTTTTAGATTCCGTCTCTCACAGTTGAAGTGTACCTATGATAAAAAATTACAGACCTCTACATGCTTTGTAAGTAGGAAAACCTGCAAAATCGGCAGTGTATCAAATACTTGTTCTCCCCACTGTAGGTCTAGATTATGAGGTCGAAGGAATTGTCCGTAGAGCTCTGAGACAGGATTGTGTCGAGGCACAGATCTGGGGAAGGGTACCAAAAACTTTCTGCAGCATTGAAGGTCCCCAAGAACACAGTGGCCTCCATCATTCTTAAATGGAAGAAGTTTGGAACCACCAAGACTCTTCCTAGGGCTGGCCTCCCGACCAAACTGAGCAATCGGTGGAGAAGGGCCTTGGTCAGGGAGGTGACCAAGAACCCGATGGTCACTCTGACAGAGCTCCAGAGTTCCTCTGTGGAGATGGGAGAACCTTCCAGAAGGACAACCATCTCTGCAGCACTCCAACAATCAGGCCCTTATGGTAAAGTGGCCAGACGGAAGACACTCCTCAGTAAAAGGCACCTGACAGCCCACTTGGAGTTTGCCGAAAGGCACCTAAAGGACTCTCAGACCATGAGAAACAAGATTGTCTGGTCTGATTAAACTAAGATTGAACTCTTTGGCCTGAATGCCAAACATCACGTCTAAAAAAAAAAATTGGAGGAAACCTGGCACCATACCTATGGTGAAGCATGGTGGTGGCAGCATCATGCTGTTGGGATGTTTTTCAGCGAAAGGGCCTGGGAGACTAGTCAGGATCGAGGCAAAGATGAACGGAGCAAAGTACAGAGAGCTCCTTGATGAAAACCTGCTCCAGAGCGCTCAGGACCTCAGACTGGGGCGAAGGTTCACCTTCCAATAGGACAATAACCCTAAGCGCACAGCCAACACAACGCAGGAGTGGCTTTGTGACAAGTCTCTGAATGTCCTTGAGTGGCCCAGCCAGAGTCCGGACTTGAACCCGATCGAACATCTCTGGAGAGACCTGAAAATATTTGTGCAGCGACGCTCCCCATCCAACCTGACAGAGCTTGAGAGGATCTGCAGAGATTTTTTTTTTTGTATTTTTTTTTTTGTCATTTAGCAGACGCTCTTATCCGGAGCGACTTACAGTTAGTGAGTGCATACATATATTTTTTCATACTGGCCCCCCGTGGGAAGAATGGGAGAAACTCCCCAAATACAGGTGTGCCAAGCTTGTAGCGTCATACCCAAGAATACTCGAGGCTGTAATCGCTGCCAAAGGTGCAAAGTACTGAGTAAAGGATCTGAATACTTATGCAAATGTAATATTTCCGAATTTTATTTTTTTATAAATTTGCAAAGAAATCTACAAACCTGTTTTTGTCATTATGTGGTATTGTGTGTAGATTGAAGGAAAAAAATCAATTTTAGAATAAGGCTGTAACGTAACAAAATGTGGAAAAAGTCAAGGGGACTGAATACTTTCCAAATGCACTGTAAACCACTAATATAGTCTAATAATTGATCAGTGGAGCTAAAATCCTCTAGTGACACAGAAATGTAAAGTTGAATTATTGTCTGCGTAGCAGTGAAAATCAATGCTGTGCTTTCTTATAACACTGCCAATGGGTAACATGCAGTACCAGTCAAAAGTTTCGACACACCTACTCATTCAAGTGTTTTTCTTTATTTTTACTATTTTCTACATAGTAGAATAATAGTGAAGACATCAAAACTATAATAGTGAAGACATCCAAACTTTTGACTGGTACTGTATATACAGTATAAACTGAACAGTACCGGACCCAAAATCAAACCTTGTGGAACGCCACGTGACATTTATTTTCTCTGAGTTATGTTCACCAAGGGTGACAAAAAACTCACGACTGGTTAAATAGGTCCTAAACCAATGTAGAACTGGGCCGGAGAGGCCCACCCCCCTGCTCCATTCGTGTCCCAGAAGGACATCATGGTCAACAGTGTTCGATACACAGTCACTTAAATCTAGAGAGTACAGGACAGAGAGCTGTTTCATCTGAGTTGGCCTCTAAGATAATTTATCACTTTTAACTAAGGCTGTCCCTCTGTGCTGTGGTGGGCACGAAAACCAGATTGGAATTTTAAATAATCGTTGCACTTAAAAAATAATTGAGCTGTTTTGAAAACACCATTTCTCCAGATGTTGCTCCAAATTGCAGAGCTGAAGATCTAGATGACTTTTCTTCAGAAGGGGTTTCACCATTTTTAAGTGGGAAAGTGCCTGGACAGGTGATTACATAGACTTCTTATGAGATTGTTTGAAGAAGGTTGGGGATAGGATCGTGAGCCAGTAGAAGGTGTTGAATCATGAGCATAGTGCCTTTGTGTGGTAGGTATAGGGCACATATCATCAAACTTCTCATCAGGTCTTGCTTGACTGATACCCAGCCTAATGTTGGTTATCTTATCTCTGAAATGTGCTGCAAACTCATCACATTTAGATGTGGAGGAAAGTTCACATGGGGGGGTAGGATTTGTGGGGGTAGGATTTATCAGGCCATCAATGGTCGAGAAGAGCGCTCTCAAATTATTCTGATTAATAGTGATCAAGTTACAAAAATGAGCCCGTCTGCCATTTATTATTGCCTTGTTATATATGCCAAGTTGCTCTCTCAGAATATCATAATGGACCTGCAACTTCTCCATTTCCGCACTGCCTTTCTGCAATTTCTCTTTAATTGATTAGTTTCCTCACTCATCCAAGGGGCTCTCTGTTTGGATGTGGCTTTTTCAACTTTATTGGACTGATGGCATCAATGGTTGCCCTTAATTTGCTATTAAAGTTATCAACTAAATCATCACAAGAGGAAGGCAGAATAAATGGTGGAGTATTGTTTATACATTCAATAAAATCTGTAGCAACTTCAGAGGTAAGATAGTGTTTCTTAATAATGTGTTCAGTATTACCCTGTGCTATGGGCAACAAGGTAGTAAAAAATACATGGTGGTGATCAGATAAAGCAACATCAACAATAGAGGATATGTCAATAGAAAGCCCCTTGGTAATAACCAGGTCCAGAGTATGGCCGCGGTTATGGGACGGCCCAGTAACATGTTGGATAAAGTCCATAGAGCTCAAAAGATTCATAAATTAAATGGCCTTGGAGTCAGTCTCTTTGTCAACATGAATATTAAAATCGCCCAACACAATGATTTTATCATACTAGAGTAGGAATAAAATGTCTCTATTCTCAGCACTTACGACCAATTTTCTTTGTGGATACGGGTCCAGGTAAAAAGAGAGAAACATTTTGCCATATTCGATCACAGCTTCTGTCCATCCACTGTCTGTTACGTAGGTGTGTGTCTTTGTCTGTGGTATCTGTCCTCTGCTATGTGATCAGAGCAGCATCTTTATACTTTTCACTCAATGAGGAACTAAATAGTGTTTGTGGGTTGGTGGTTTTCCTGTGAAAGTAAAATTCAGCCCTCAGTTTTTTTTCTTATAGTTCTATTTCCCTTTTTAGCTCAGTTTTGGGGACAACTTCTCTTTATCACAGAGATAGGTTTGACGCTTTTTATTAAACTTGACTGTGTGACTGCAGTTACAATCATTTTGGCTCTACCTCACCCTCTATATGGTTAATCTCCTGTCTCCTGAACAGGACACAGATTCTGGAACTGTTTACTGTGTCTCTGAAGCAGTTGAAGGGTTTCCGGCAGCAGACTGTTCAGACTCACGTGACCGCTGCTCTCTGCAGTGTCCTGAAGGTAAACATTTAGAGCCTGAACTCTGACATCTTGGTAGGCCTGATAGCCTTGCCTTTTGGATTACCAACCTATATAATAGGATGTTTTTTTTATTCTACACACGTTGTCTAAAGGCAAAATGATAATACAAATGTCTTCACACTTACGATGCAAATTTCATCATAGTGATGCACAATTTTAAATGTGTCGTTGTGAAATTTCCTTTGGGATAAACTAGGAGATGTTACTGTGGATATGCCATGCTGTATGAATAAACCCTCCTCATCTCTGTGTGTGTGTGTTCAGCCCCTAGGCTCCAGCCGTGTAGATCTGGGTCCAGAAGAGGTTCGGAGGCCAGCCATGGGCCTGTTGGTAGGTGCTCTGGAGAGCTCTAACCCCCTGCTGCAGTGCATGGCTGCTGAGGGCCTGTCTCGCCTGGTACAGGTGGTCAACAACCATGCATTCCCTGTCTCCATGACCCTGCTCAGCTTCGACAAGTGAGTGGACAACCCCCGACCCCTTACCACACACATACTGGACTGATCTGCCTTTGGCAGTGATATTGTACAATGTCTTGCGCTGTCTTCATTTAGGACTCCATATTAGGGTGCATGCTAAGCTAATGTTGTGACATTTGTGTGTTGGTTGGACAACATTTTATCAGTTTCACAGTGCATTGGACCTCAGATTGATCCTATCTCTCTCCCACCAGGTTGAAGACACCCCAGGATGCTGTGATCGTACGGGTCATGCCCAGGTGCTGGGTGCCCTGCACCGCTATGTAGAGGGCACCAGCTCCCCCCAGCACCTCAGTGCCTGTGTGGGCATCCTCTTCACCCTCTCCCAAGACAGCACTTCCCCAGAGGTCCAGGTACAGTAGTGATTACCAATCTGATTTAGTTCAGAGCTTGTTTGTTCCTATCGTCACCCACTCAACAGCTGTTGTTTATGGACAGACCCTGTACGTCACTTCCACAGCTCCTCAAAAAGACGTTGAAAAGGTCTATAGGGAAATAAAAGTATCTGTTGGCAACTTGGCAACTGTCTCCGCTTTGTCTGTGTAAGAGGTGGGCGCTGCACTCTCTGTCCAAGGGTGATGGACCTGGCTGGTCCTCTGTACCACGGCTATGTGGAGGCCAGCTTCACCCTGGTGCTGAGGCTGCTGCTCTCTGTCCCCCCACCCATGTAGAGGTCCACCAGAGCCTGGGCCGCTGCCTCAACGCCCTCCTCACTACCCTGGACCTAACCTACAAGGTGAATCCCATACTTAATACAAACACTTTAAAGGATCATCTGATAGAGAAGAAAAAGGCGGGTTTCTATCACAATATGAGGACCTGACCTACAAGGAGACCCAACTCATAGACACACACTGAGTCACTGTAAAGTAGAAATCTTATACCAGAGAAAATACCATTGATTTCTTAGGTACTTAGGTGCCGATTCTATATGTATAGCGATTCGATACTGCAATTTATTTTGCGATTTGTGTTTCCAAACATATTGCTCACTATATGTCTGCTGCAGAGAGATGAGAGAGCATTAGAACATTTGTTTTGATCAGTCATGGGGATAAAAGTGCTGAAAACATGTTCGCTCACTATTAAAAAGAACATGGAGAACAAGCTAAAGGATGAAAAATACCAGAGTTTAGGTGCAGGTATAGCCGACTACCGCTAGCTAACGCTGCCTAGCAAAGAAAATCGATACTTGGAGTCAAAGTATTGATATAATATCGTCCAAAATAATATTGCGATATGTAACTATACATTTTTTCTCCCCATCACTAATATGTAGGAGAGTGTCGATTCGTTAATAGGCGAACGGAGGAGGAGGAGGAAGAGGTGGAGGAGGAGGAAGAGGAGGCTCAAGTGTATCCTACCGTGGAAGAGTTTTGAAAGCCTCCACACGACCTTTGAAACAGCAGTTTTCTCGGATTGAAAAAGCATGCACACATTTAAAAATGATATGCTACTTATCCTTCTGTCTATAAAATGTCTAGCACAACTAGCTAAATTTCTTTTTCCACTTTACACATGTATTTTGGGATTCCACCTCTGTAAACGTAATTTGCCTGATGACGGGCTAGAGAAGAAAGAGCCTCATTTCATTCAAGCGCATTTGTTTCCTCCCCTCCCCTCGACTCCCCTCCTCGACTACCTTTGACCTTTTTCAAAAGGAGGCGAGGAGATGATGGAGAAGAGTACGTGAAGAATCAAGGAAATCCAATTGAGATTCTCCTTATGTCCTACCCAGGTAGCTAATTAGCTAATGTCATTCCTAGCTAATGCTAAGCTATTGAGCTAATGATACCATTAGGGTGGTGTCAGCAATCCCTCAGACACACACTCCAACATAGCCATAGAAATGGAACTACCTAGTTGAACACAGTTCTCTTTTGGAATGTTGATGACATTTTTTTGTGTGTAAAATGTGTCAAACCAGGCAGTCCCAGAGAGTGTTTCTGCAGTGCCTTCCTCTGTAGTGACGGTGTGCATTCTCTCGCATACAGGAGATCTTGTTGGATTATTCTATGTTGGTAGGTTCTTTCCCCTGATTGCAGGAGTTCCTGTGTGACGTTTATCTGTTCTATTTGCTGTTGGCCCTGATCCTACTTTCTTATCAGTGTTTTCTTTGTCACCCTGTTGATTTTCATTTTGGTTGTCCTTTTTGGTTTCTTTTTGTTTCTCTTCTGTGAGTTTGAACTGACCCGATCAGGCATCCACAGCGAGCATGAACCAATGGCGTCCTTCCTTCCTTCCTTCCCTCCCTGACAGCCCTCTACCAGGGGTAGTGCCAAGGATTTGTTTTGCGTCAGTGGCTCTTTTCTCAAAGTCCTCCTCTCTTCACACTGGTCAAGGGGCAAAAACAGTCACTAGTCTCTGTCAACTGCTTTTTGCTCTATTTATTAGTAGTAGTGAGTTCTGCTATCAGTTCTGAGAAATGATGACCATGACTACATGACTATATAAGCAGTAAAGATTGATTGATGACACTGGTCTAAACAACAAACAACATATAATGTAGTCACTGACGCAAGTACAACTATCCTTCCCAGTACCTCTGCTGTCAGATCTTTTCCACACTCCTCTAGCTTGGTCCCAGATCTGTTGGCACCGTCTTGCCAACTTGTTGACAATGACCTGACAATGATTATAGGGGTTGGCAAGACCATACAAACTGATCTAGGACCAGGCTAATACTCCTCCCCCCTCCTCTAAAGGGGCTTCTGTTTGTTTGATATGACAGGATGATTAACAGTATCATGGCACCAGGGAGGACTAATTTCTAGTCTCCACTCCCAGGGAGCTAATAACACTTCTTCTGTTGCTTGTTGTTTGTCTTCTGCTGTGTAACTCACAGTCTGTTCTCTTTTCTGTCAACCCCTGGTTAGCAGGCCAAATAATTTTGGATTCAGTTGTTGACACACAACTGTGAAAGTAATTGCTTGCTGAAATATCCCTGATATTTCGGTTTCGCTAGCTGCTCACAGCAATTATTATTTTGTATCCGTTCCAGCATGATGTTGAGCTGAACATTTATTAATTATCTATGATAGTGTTTCTACTGGGGTTTTGAACAGAGGAGTAGTCACACTGTTAAGATGGATAGACTGGGTCCTGTAATGAAATGTGATCTGACTCACTCTTAGTTCACTTCTTCTATCCTATGAATTGTTATGTTTCAACCAAAGTGCTAATCACTCCTTTATTATGGGATTCTCCATGTGCTACTATCACTTCAAAACACAGACAGAATGGTCACCCTCTCTACAGGTGTTAGGGTCTCTATGTAGCCCTGATATACTGTGTTGCTTAAGTACGTATTGGTGTCTCTCTGTGTGTGTGTGTGTCTCTGTGTATCTCTGTGTGTGTGTGTGTGTATATGTATGTATGCATGTCTGTGTGCGGCATGTGTGTCACTGTGTGTGTCCCTGTGTGTGTGTGTGTGTGTGTGTGTGTATATTTTTTTAAATTTTAAATTTTAGTCATTTAGCAGACGCTCTTATCCAGAGCGACTTACAGTTAGTGAGTGCATAGATTTTTCATACTGGCCCCCCGTGGGAATGGAACCCACAACCCTGGCATTGCAAACGCCATGCTCTACCAACTGAGCTACATCGCTGCCGGCCATTCCCTCCCCTACCCTGTGTGTGTGTGTGTGTGTGTGTGTGTGTGTGTGTGTGTGTGTGTGTGTGTGTGTGTGTGTGTGTGTGTGTGTGTGTGTGTGTGTGCGTGCGTGCGTGCGTGCGTGCGTGCGTGCGTGCGTGCGTGCGTGCGTGCGTGCGTGCGTGCGTGCGTGCGTGCGTGAACCTTTGCAGCTCATACCTGTCTCTGCGTCGTGCTGTGGTGGCATGTCCGAGACAGCTGGCCCAGAAGGAAGCCCTGGAGGTGTCAGAGCACGCTGTGGCCCTGGTCAAGGAGCTGCCGTGCAGGGACAACACACCGCTGGGTAAGACCAACACATACACACACACACACACACTGAGACTGAGACACAAACACACACTAAGACACACACACACTGACAGACACATACTGAGAGACACACACAGACTCACAAACAAGGCGAGATGTTTATGGTCACTGACCTTTCGACAGCAAATCTATTATCTTTCCGGTAATAATAATAATAATATGCCATTTAGCAGACGCTTTTATCCAAAGCGACTTACAGTCATGTGCGCATACATTTTTACGTATGGGTGGTCCCGGGGATCGAACCCACTACCCTGGTGTTACAAGCGCCATGCTCTACCAATTGAGCTACAGAGGACCACGTAATGCTCAGCATGTGCAAATGGACTTTGAATAATGAACATACATTAAGATGTAGCTTAATAAGCTGTAGAAAAGCCTCATTGTGGCCCGTGTCTCCTCTCCTCCTCAGATGTGACCATTAAGGAGGTGGGCCTGGAGGGGGCTCTGCTCAGCCTACTAGAACGGGAGTCTGACCCCCGTCTCTGTCAGGACATCCAGGAGACCCTGGTTCACATGATGAGTTCCATCGCCATGGGGAAACTGGCCCACTAGCTCAAACTCTGCAAAGACGTCCTGTCTGACTCTGCAGGTGGGTGTGCTGTCAAATGGGGCCCTGGAGCTGTGCCTGTGTGTGCTGGTGCATAAACTACCCTAGCTCAGCACCAAGCTGGGCCGGCAGCCCCAGTGGGGGCCAGGGAGGATCGGCCTGGAGTCTCAGTGACAGTGACTGCAGACTGGTAGCGGCTGCTCTGGGCATTCTGTCTGACCTCATTGGATAGGAAAAGGTGCAATGCCCTCTCACCATTAGAAATTCTTAGTTATATTTGACAAGTTTAAAAGATTGACGTTTCGGCCTTCAATGGCCTTCTTCCTGTCTGACCTGCCATCCATCTGCTCTCCTGAGGGTAAGCCAAGCTGGGCCTGCTTGCGATACTAACCAGGACTGTGGTTAATTAATTCCATCTCAACTCAACTAAGTCAGGAAGTAAACAGCACAGAGAGTAGGTCAAGACCATGATTAATCATTAGATTGATTCATGGAGAATGATTGATTATTTGATCAGTAGTGGCCAATCCATGACTCACAAATGGACGAATACTAATTTGTAAATGAATGTGTTAAAGCCCTTTAAAAACAACTTTATCTTGTTTAAAGAATGATCACTCAGATGATAGGTTGATTAAACATTCTCCTCCTCACCACTCTCTTGTCTTTTCTATGGTGCTGTGGTTAACCTGTGGTTAATGGTTAAACCCTGTCTCTTCTCCCCCATAGGTAGTGTGTCCATCCTGCCTTTAGTACTATACCTGTTGATGGGGGTGCTGAGGGAGTTGGTCCAGCAGCCCTGTGGTGGTGGGGCTCTGGGCCTGGTGGGAGCTGTGCTCTCCTCCCCTATGAGTCGCTCAGAGAAGAGCTGCGGGGGCCCACCTGCTGCGCTGTGCCCTCAACACCCTGCTGGACTTCTGGGACTCAGGTACGGAGTCAGGGACAAAGCGGAATGGGAGGACACTTCACATTGAAAACAGAATCACGCACACACACAACCATGCACACAACCACACCCACACACACCCACACACACACACACATACGCAGTCTGTTACGACACAGGAGCCCACACCACAAGGAAAAATTGATCAAACAAATCAGCCTACAGCAAATGTCATGGCCTTTGGTTTGAAAGTCCACACATACGCAATCCCATTTTAAGTTCCTCAATTGCATTCCAAGTTTGGTCTTGGGTTTTACAAGTCAAAATACGGTTCAGAATGCACAATTCCATTATAAATTGTATTAGGTTCAGTCAGATTCTAACTGGATGAATGATTCTCTTTGTGTCCCTGACTCTGTTAACAGATAAGCCCAACCCTGCGGTGGATGAGATCAGTCTGTTGACAGCTCTCACCATCTTCCTGCTGTCTGCCAGTCCTGAGGTCACCACAGCCCAGCCACTGCAGACACGCTGCATAGACAGTCCTGGAGTCTAAAGACCCTGTGGTAACTCAGCACTAAGTAGTTCAGCAGTAATACAAAACTATAGAACAAGGCACCTTTTTAGGACTCCTTGGTGACCCACTGTCTTATGATGACTATAAAAGTATTTTATATAGTCAACTTTTCTACTGTGCAAGTTACTGTTCAAAGTTCCTCAGTATTACATTCTCTTCAAGCATTCAATGCAAATAGGTTCTCCCCACTGATTCTCATATGTAAAGCATATGTAAAGGCTGTATCCACAGCTGACTCTACAACAGCTCTCTATTCTTCCTCAGGTGCTCAGCAGGAGTTACCAGCTGCTGATGTCAGTGTACCAGAGCCAGACGGGTTTAGTGGTGCCCTTCATCCAGGACCTGTAGGGATGTGTGATGGGACACCTCCAGGAGGTGGAGAGGAGGAGGTCCCAGAGCCCCGAGGAGCTCCAGGCCATCCAGGATGGAGTCAGGACCCTGGAGGCTCTGGTGTTTGCTGCAGACGAGACACACCATGAGGAGACTAAGTTACCTCAGACTCCCGACTGCTGTGGTCATTAGTGGTCAATATTATTAGTCAGCTTTTCTAGATGTTGAAGTGGAAAACTATAATAAGTTCCCAGGATAATAGGTGTCAAATCTGGATTGGTTGATATTTTTCTTTCCTTTCCAATTGTTCTGTCTTTCTGTCCCATGATGCATAGTCTTATTTTGGTTGTGTTTTGATCTTTGACCGCCAGGTCCCCAGCTGGTGGCCATTCTCCTTCCCATCCTAATCTCTTGTCTGCTGGATGAGAATGCCCTGGCCTCTGCCCCCATGCCCGCCCGCGCACTGCATGAGTCGTCCCTGCAGGACCTGATGCGCATTGGCCCCCAGCACTCGTCCGTCTTCAAGGCCCTAACGGCCTCCTCGCCCCACATGAAGGCCAGGCTGGAGGCTGCTGTCAAGGGCAACCAGAATAGTGTCAACGCCAAGGCCACACAGCTCCAAGTACCCAACAAGACCTCACCTAGCATTCAACTCAAGACCAATTTTTTGTATTCATTAGTGCAAACAGAAAAGGAAAACAAGTGTTTCTTATGGACAAATTCAGGTAGGTCCCTCCCCATTTCGGCCTGTTTGCTTCCTAGTGAATACACACACCCCTGTTCAATCAGTATGGGAAACATTAGCTCACTTCTAACCATAGCATTTTCATTCACATCTAAACTTCACATGGCATCCACATGATTGGATGTCTACAGTATTCGTTTTGTCATATCATTTGAATGGCTGTCATCATATTATGTAGAGGCAGTCTATATATAATACAGACATTTTGCAACGCAAGCTGAAAGAGATGCAGCATACATACACACATATATACACACCGCTGTCATAATTGTAGAGTGTTGAAGGAAAATAAAACTGCATTAACTTCATTCTCCAACACAACTTTGATTTGAATTGCCATAGCAATACAGGTAAAGCAATGTAAACTACCATGTACTGAAACGTTTTTTTGATTTTTAAGACCAATCCAACTGTCTACAGAGCAGTGTGTCCACAGAACAATACAACCACTGCACTGATGTTCTTGAAATGGCATTGCACTTAACATACTGTTTAATGTTGTAGCTACATGTCCAGCCAGCAATCAAAACTTTGTTATTAAGTTAACATTATAATGGTCATAATCTTAGTGCTGTATTATGGTCACTGACTACGTTAAAAAGGGCTGCATAGAGATCCATTTAACCAGCAGTCAGTTAGCAGCATCACTTTATCATTACTAGCATAATCCTCTCAGTGTTCATGTTAAGTTACCCTACATAAGTCTCCTGGGTGGCTGAGTGTGAAGGAATGTATGTTAAAATAATTTCTGGTCCAAAGGACACTATTCAGAATTGTGGTTTACGAAATGGATACAAACATCGAAATTCAATCAAATGCAATGAAAATGTAAGTGACACTATGATATTGGATCAGTCAATCGTGGGAAGGTGGTTCAGAAAGGTAACACTACAAATTAAAGAATTTATGCAATAACAAATAAATCTGGTAAGTACATTGTCCTGCTTTCAGCTTGGCTTTTGCTATGGCTGTTTAGCGCTTTCATACTGCAGCTGTGTCTGTGAGGATACTGTAAAATAAAACCAAAATGTGTTGTATTCATTGCGTCTTTGTCTATAACATATGTGATGGTATGACAACATACTGTATGCATGTTTTCTGCATTTAGCATTTTATATCTGACTGACTGCAATATTCATGAATGATACCAAGTGAGTATGTAGGTCCACCCTTTACATAGAAAAAGTTATTCTTGAAATGGGGTCTCTGTGCTTTTCCACGTATTGTAGCTAGCGCCCCCTGCATACAGCCGCAATGCTGTCAGCCGGTGAAAAGAGAATACAGTAGGACGCTGCGTAGCCTCGTGATGCATACGACGGAGAGCCCACTCCGTTCCCTCTACCGCTCTCCATTTCGCTCGAATTTGTGTATTGCATTACTGTGTACTTTGACCTTTATGGCTCGGTAAAAAGAACTGGGAAATAAGTCGTTTTTTCCCCTTAGGTTAGATTGTTCCTTTACGCACTATTCTATTTGATCGACCGTCATTTTCTTTTCGTCATCTGCTGAAAGACCGTGAGTGTTTATCTGTTATGTTTGTGCTGTGAACCGAGCGACCCAGCTTTTCCTACATGTTATGACTGACAGAAGTGTTGCGGCCTTGGGCTCTCCTGGAACTGAATCCTCGCGGATTATGTGTTGATGGTCAGGCCATGCATTGTAACATGTTTTGAACTCTTCTGTATTCTCCAATCCTGAAGATATACATGTTAGTAAATATTGTAGCAGTTTCATTGTTTGATTTTAGGCGACGAACTACTGTAGCTAGCTAATCTGACTAGGATGAGCTAGGTACACTAACGTTAATTTAGCTGGCTAAACCTGATGTACAGATCAACCAAAAATAACACGCAAATGTTGGCTTGTTGGCGTCCTCCTATACAGTCGGCTATGTGTGATATATTCTCACATTGAGCATGAAGTAGTAGTTATTTAATTGATTGTAATTTACTTGTATTAGCCTATAACCGGTTACTTGTTAGCTAACGTTAGTTTAGTTAAATATAGTTAACGTAGTCATCTAACAGTAGCTAGCTAACGGTACCAAGCAGAAGTTAGCTAACTAGCTACGTCGACAACAGCAGGGAATACGTTATTTGTCTTCGTGGATAGATGGCTAACGTTATGTTGATATAACTGGGCTTGCTAGCCAGTACCTAGCTAAGTGTAGCCAGGCCTTATAGCAAATGATAACGTTAGGTTGTTTACGCTAACTAGCTAGCTATGCAGTTCAGCTTGTTTTGTAAGATTGTTATGCTGCTACTTAACTAGGTTGTCTTTCACAACAACTGCAACGTTAACTTGGCTGCAGTGGCAGTAAAAATGAACCATGTCATGATGGAATTAACTAGCTACAGTAGCTAGCTAGTTAGGTCTATATAAAGAACTGTTTACTTGAATATGTTTGCTGTACTTTCTGGTGTTGCTAACAATAATGGATTTGTGACTTGTTTTGTGACATTAGCTAGGTACTTGAATAATGATAATGTCAAAAGTAAAGAGATGGGTTGTCTGCACATTATTAGTGTATCTCTATTGTCAGTTAGACTGTAGATGTAAGATAGATAAAAGTTACCTAGTACTGGGCTATCCTTTTTGGACATTCAGTTTGTGGCTCAAAGGAAATGGAACCTATGCCTTCTGGGAAACAATTCAGTGCGAGTCAGTAGTTGTCAGTCGTAGAAACTCTCTCTGGCAATTTGTGATTAATCTGTTGATAAGAGGATCTACCCCAAGCCTGTTTAGCCTATAGCCATCCAGGCTCTAACAAAGGAGACTGTTCTACTGTTTCAAGTCCTAATGAAAGTAGTCCAACCCCCAACAGAAAATAGTTGAACTCAGTATTGTGTTGAGATGATACCGCCAGTCTGCAGCCTGGCTCACACTAAATCTTGGCACCACATCACCCCAGTCCTCTGAACTCCACTGGCTCCCTGTCTCCCAATGCATTGATTACAAAATCCTCTTTCTGACCCCCCTACCTCTCAGACCTTCTTCTCCCCTACCTACCCACACGCGCACTCCGTTCGACCACAGCAGGCCACCTTGTCATCCCTAGGTCAAAGCTCCAGAGCTTCGGCGACAGGGCCTTCTCCAGGGTTGCTCCTAGGCTCTGAAACTCCATCCCTCCAGCCATCTGTAACTCTTGAGTCCTTCACTATCTTTCAGTCCCTCCTAAAGCACCCCCCCCACACACACACACACACACACACACACACACACACACAAGCAAATAAATACACTACCAAGACACTACTCTCTTCACCATACCGAGCAGCACCATATCCAAATCCCAACCCTACCCTCCCCATACACTGATATATCACACTCTTTCCCATCTTTGAACCCACCCCACTCTTTATTCACGGTTTTGTTTAGTCTGATGATTATTTGGACTCCTGTTTTTTATTTGTAATTTTTTTTCTACAATTGTAAAGTGACTTTGGGTCCTTGAAAAGTGATATGCAAGTCCCATTTGTTGTTGTTATTATTATTACATACAGTACCCGTAGAACAGGTTTTGTGCCTCACTTATTTTCCTGAGAAGAAAAGTTTACTGTTGCTTAGTTCTTTATAGCAATTACCATGTTTCAGATGTCACGTGAACTAGCTACAAACCTTTGTTGCTCTTACTTGCCCAACGTAATCCCATTGGCAACTGCAAGTTGAGCCAGTCATGATTAAACTAAACGCCAGCTTTCGCTCTCCCTCTCTCTATCCTCCTCTACCACCTCTCTATACCCCTCTACCCCCTCCCTCTCTCTTTCTCTCTCTCCCCCCTCTTCCTCTCTCTCTACCTCTCTCTCCCCCCTCTAGCTCTCTCTCTCTCCCTTTCTCTCTCTCCCCCCTCTACCTCTCTCTCTCCCCCCCACCTCTCTCTCTCCCTTTCTCTCTCTCCCCCACTCTACCTCTCTTTCTTTCCCTCTATCTCTACCGCTCCACCCCAGGTGAAGGAAGACTACATGACACACAATAGGGAGCAGTGATTGGACCTGTCAGTGTTTTCTCCGTCCGGCGGATGAGTCCCCAGCTCAGCCCACAGCAGTGATTGGGCTAGGTGCCAGATAGGGAGCTGTAGCAGGGGGTGATCATGGCGGACGTGGACCCAGACACCTTGCTGGAATGGCTCCAGATGGGCCAGGGAGATGAGAGAGACATGCAGCTGATCGCCCTGGAGCAGCTCTGCATGTTACTGCTCATGTCTGACAACGTGGACCGCTGCTTCGAGACGTGAGTCACCAACATACACTGTCATATGTTGATCTCACAAACATCTCAGGCATTAGTCATACTGTTGAGTGGACAATGCCGCGCTAATACAAACTGCCTGTAATGATGGCACAATCCTTTTTATGTAGTTACTGTTGAGCCGTGCACAGATGTTTATATAGCTAGTCCTCTCTTGCAAAATAGATTTTATCTCAATGAGAATAACCTGTATAAATAAAGGTTATATATGTCCTCCAGGTGTCCCCCACGCACCTTCCTCCCGGCCCTGTGTAAGATCTTCTTGGACGAGAGCGCGCCGGACAACGTGCTGGAGGTGACTGCCCGCGCCATTACATACTACTTGGACGTGTCGGCTGAGTGCACCCGCAGGATCGTGGGCGTGGACGGGGCCATCAAGGCTCTGTGTAACCGCCTAGTGGTGGTGGAGCTCAACAACAGGACCAGCAGAGACCTGGCCGAGCAGTGTGTCAAGGTACACTTTTATTTAGAAAAATCGTCCTGACGAAGACCCAATTTGGGCTTGAAACATTCTCCTATTAAACACTTTGGGAGCATTACACCAGTGTGGGGATTTTTTTTTTTTTTGTTCTACTTCATAAAAACAATTCCTTTGCCTTTTTTATGTGATCGACTCTTTGCTTCAGGTCATAAACAGTGCATAAAATTAACACCCGCCAAATGCGGGTATATTTATATTTAGTGCCATTGACGGTATTAACTGTAAAATACCATATTTGGAGGAGGATTTGTTTTTTTGGGGGGAAGTATTACATTTTACAGACTTCAACTAGTCACGTTGGCGGGTGGTCAATTTGCAGGGCTCTACAGCAAGAGCATTACATTTGCATTGGTGAATAAAAAAATAGTCAAAAGTCAAGTATGACACCAAGAAATACGAATCCTACATCCCACCTCGCGCAGCAACAGCTTTGTGCGCTGTGAATGAAGCACTGATAAAAGTTGGTCTAATTTACTCATGACCCACAATTCAATGCAAACTGTAGTCAAGTGTCAAACGATGGTGGCCACGACGTGTCATTAAATCAACATGGCTGCATTTTCGGCATGTGAGACAAAATAATGTTGCTAGCTTGCTAAAAAAAAATTGATAGATGACATTGATTTTAGCGTTGGCAAATTGGCTTAGTCTCGTTCTGAGGAGCCTATAAAACCCAGTTAGCTTCATAAAGATATTTCTTGGAATTCTGAAATGTATTGGAATAAATGACCAAACTATAAAACTAGCTAGCCAGCTATGGGTAAGCTAGCTACGTTAGCTTGCAAGATACATGAATAGCTTTAGGTTGGTTGTTTTTAAGCTCAATTTCAAGATTTCCATCAAGGACGTTGCCTCTCCGATCATCACTCTCCCTCGCTTGGGCAAGGGACATTTTAAGGTATGGGCGGCAGGTAGCTTAGTGGTTAAGAGCGTTGTGCCAGTAACCGAAAGGTCGCTGATTGCAGCCACTGTCTACTACTAGTCACATCCCAAATCTCACACACAGACACACCTGACATTACTCCAGTGGCCCGTTACCACTGTAAAATCCCACCCTTAAAGGGACAGCTGAACATTTTGTCTCATCTGATATTTTGGTTAAAATAAAATATGAAATTAAATGTAGCAATATACCACATTACTTCTTACTAATACATTTCTTGTTTTAGAAACATTACAAAACATGGTCATCAGTTCTTTTATGTAATTATGACAGAAAATGATTTTGGCTGGTAGATTTTTTTCATCTACCTGCCACAGTGGCTGGTGGAAGAAAATATCAATTTTAGGCCCTGCAAGAGAACGTTCTCTCTTTACTTGAGACGTTTTTATTCAAATCACAAGATGCATATGAGGAGTTTATTCAAATTAGGTCTTGAATATGTAGGTCATATTTCCTCTTTGTTAGTGTACACAACAAATATCTGGTTTAGGAAGGGTTTTACGTATGTGGTAGAATATTACAGAACATGCTCATACTCAAAAGTAGTCAGGTGCAGAGTCCTCATTGTAAAGTCCATAGTAAAAGAGATGGACCGCACATCATAAATAATGAATGTATTCTTCTGCTGACTTGTATTTGTGGTGTCATTTGTCAGGTGCTGGAGCTGATCTGTACCAGGGAGTCTGGAGCAGTGTTTGAGGCTGGGGGTCTGAACTGCGTGCTGAGCTTCATCCGGGACAGCGGTCATCTGGTCCATAAGGACACCCTGCACTCTGCCATGTCTGTGGTGTCTCGCCTGTGCAGCAAGATGGAGCCCCAGGACGCCTCTCTGGAGACCTGCGTGGAGTCCCTCTCCAGCCTGCTCAAACACGAAGACCACCAGGTGAATGGGACACCCACTCAGGGGTCATCGTGGTTGGTGGGTGGGTGGGTGGGGGGGGCGGTCATCCATGCACATTGGTGGTGGATTAATGAGTTTTCCCCATTTCTGTGTAAAGTGCTTTGAGCTACTGGAAAAGTGGTATATAAATCCAATTAATCAATTTTCAGCTTAAAGGTCTGGTTGCAAATGATTGCATTGTTATTGATGAAAATGCAATCCATTGATCGACAGGTGTCTGACGGTGCTCTGCGCTGCTTCGCCTCCCTGGCGGACCGCTTCACCCGTCGAGGGGTGGACCCCGCGCCACTGGCCAAGCACGGTCTGACAGAGGAGCTGCTGTCCCGGATGGCGGCGGCAGGGGGCACGGTCTCCGGCCCCTCCTCCACCTGTAAGCCAGGCCGGACCTCCACTGGGGCCCAACCCACCGCCGCCGACTCCAAACTCTCCAACCAGGTGTCTACCATCGTTAGCCTGCTGTCCACGCTGTGCAGAGGCTCTCCCCTCGTCACCCATGTAAGGACATTTTACATTTGGTCTTGTAAAAATAAATACAGTTACAAATCAAATTGCCAATTGTTGGTACAAAATACCTTTCTGAATGTGAGTCTTTAAGGACCAGCCCATATCTCAAAGGGACTACTCCCTGAGATAAGTTTTATTAGATGGCTTTTATTTGATGTCCTCAGCCTTCTTGTCAAATTATTGCAGTTTGATTTTTGGTGGCTGTATCTGGTGTTATGAGCCCTCTGGGACACACTTCTGTATCAGTAAGGATTCATCATTTATTCCATAGCAATTTTATTGGCACAGAATGTTAATGTATGAACTGCAATATCTTGAAAGATAACAGTAATACAAAATAAACGTTGAAAGGATCTAGTTTCAGAATATATTAGTGAAGAGAGCTGTATTGTAATGAGAGCTATTCTGAAGTGACAATAGGACTAGTATAAGAGAATAATGGGATAATCATAGAAGCTGTGTTTTTCTTTTGCCTCCTCCCTGTGTATTTCCTGTGTGTATAGGATCTGCTGCGCTCTGCGCTGCCTGACTCCATGGAGAGTGCCCTGCAGGGGGACGAGCGCTGTGTCCTGGACACCATGCGTCTGGTGGACCTGCTGCTTGTGCTGCTGTTCGAGGGCCGCAAGGCTCTGCCCAAATCCACCGCTGGCTCAACAGGACGCATCCCGGGCCTGCGACGGCTGGACAGCTCCGGGGAGCGCTCCCACCGACAGCTCATCGACTGTATCCGCAGCAAAGACACAGACGCTCTCATCGACGCCATCGACACCGGAGGTGGGTGGATGGATAATATCGGGTCAACAGTAATGCACTTTAAATGGAATAGGGTACCATTTGGGACCCAGATATATCCTATGCCATGTGGTTTTTCTGTCTGTTGGTCTGTCTGGAGGTAGTTTAGTGATGTGGCAGAGGAAGTTTGTCCAATCTGGTGTAATGGTGCCTTATTTTTTCCCTAATTCATTTCAGCCGTTTGTTTGCATAATGGTAAATATGTCAAGTTTATGATCAAGTATCAGCTGTTATTGAGCACGCTTATTCAATTCCTGAAAATTGTTCCTATGTTGCAGCCTTTGAAGTGAATTTCATGGATGATGTCGGGCAGACTCTTTTGAACTGGGCCTCTGCGTTTGGCACACAGGAAATGGTAAGATGTTAGCTATTTTAGACTGAGTCTCGTATCCCTCCATCTCTTTACAGGGCAATTGTAATAGTTTTTTCAGCCTTGTAACAACAACATGATTACCCAGTACATTATGGTGACCATTAAGTGCTGGAACAGAACAGAATGGTTCATTGTGCCAGAGGAGTTAAAGGGATACTTCGGGATTTTGGCAATGAGGTCCCTTTATCTACTTCCCCATAGTCTGATGAACTTGTGGATACCATTTTTATGTCTCTGCGCGCAGTTGAAGGAAGTTGCTAACTAGCGCTAGCATAATTGCTTACTAGCGTTAGCGTAGTGACTGGAAGTCTATGGGTATCTGCTAGCATACCCATATACCTATACTAAACTATCTCTCATCTCTCATACTGGACACAGAGACATACAAATGGTATCCATGACTTCATCTGACTCTGGTAGATAAAGGGTAGTTTGACAAAATCCCAAAGTATCACTTTAAGGACAGCATCTCTTCCCTGTTATGCTGCAAGAACGTTCTCAGGAAGGGCTCAAGGTTCTGTCAATAGGTGTCCATAGCAACAAGCAGCAGCACACACCTGAATGAATGCTGTGTATACATAATCTGGCCTAATGCAGACGGATTACTAGAGTTTGGTTGAATAATGTCTTGTTTGTCACCTCGAAGCCAGACCACCACACAGGTCTGTCACGTTGTATTCATTAGGCACCAAACAGAAGAAAATGGACTGAAACAAGGAGAGTCCAATAACAAACCTGCTGTTCCAAAATGTTGTAAAAGGTTGTTCTTTGCGTGCCTTAATTATCAGGACCCTGTTGAATAACCCCTGTTTGTTGTGGTTGATGTCCCAGGTTGAGTTCCTGTGTGAAAGAGGTGCTGATGTCAACAGAGGTCAGAGGTCCTCCTCCCTCCACTACGCTGCCTGTTTTGGACGGCCTCAAGTAGCAAAGGTAGTTATGGTCTCTTTAACCTTTAGAGGAAATCTCTTCTAACGCTCTAACTGCTGTTTTTTTTCTACCAACATCCCTTGACAAAGGCCCAGCAGCTGGACTGTTGGGCCCTGGTTTATATATTGATTTCAATGAATAGAAAAAAACGTTTTTGCGTGTGCACACTATCCTCCTCCTGTATATGTTGTTTGGAAATGCAGGCAGACCTATGTATGTTCCCCTAGTAAGCATAATTTTCCTCTGTGTCGATAGACTCTACTGCGACATGGAGCCAACCCTGACCTCAGAGATGAAGATGGGAAAACCCCCCTGGACAAAGCAAGGGAGCGTGGCCACAGTGAGGTTGTAGCCATCCTCCAGTCTCCTGGTGAGTTATAACAATATATTAACAGCTGTGCTGCCGACTGACTTCCATGAAAAGCTTTGGTCGTCAGTGGCTCATGCCCATCATCAGAGAATAAAGAAGGACAGTGGTTATTTGACAACTTGTTGTGTTCTCTTCTCTCCTGTTCTGAAGGAGACTGGATGTGCCCCGTTAACAAAGGAGAGGACAAGAAGAAGAAAGATGTGAACAAAGAGGAGGAGGAGGCTAGTGAACCTAAAGGAGACCCTGAGATGGCCCCCATCTACCTGAAGAGGCTGCTACCAGTATTTGCACAAACCTTTCAGCAAACCATGCTACCTTCTATTAGGTAAACACAACTTTGAATCACTTGACCAAAGGACCTTTGTCTAAGCTCACAGAGATGTATATATATTACTGAGGTCCTGAATGCATTTTTATTTGAATAGGGAACATATACAAATCCATTAACACAGGGTTTCCCAAACTATGGGTTGTGTGATTTGAAAAGGGGGTCGCGAGAGAAAATTTAGCGCTTGGTTCATAGAACCGAGGTTACGCAAGTAACTTCCGGTAGCCGCTAGATGCGGTTGTAATTATTTATTCTTACTATAAATGTGGCTCTATCTTTTGAATGGTTTAAGCTGCAAAATATGATGACCCCATCACTGAAAGATACTGTAGGACTCTCAGGAACACGTGCGTACATACTGTTTCCCTCTACTATACCCACATATAGTGGGCCATTAGAACCGAGTGGACAAGACCAGGCACTAAATTAGACTGGGGGGGAGAAAATCATCAACGATAAGTTTATTTTCTACACAGAAGATCATACAACATTATTGCCTGATGATCTTCTGAAGTTCCCAATACCTTTCTGATGCATTTCAGTCACTTCAAACCATAGTGTCTTCAGATTGAAATACTTTCAAAAATACTGTCAGACTGATTTGTAAATAAACTGTCATAGCCCAAATTAATGTTGGGTCTCAAAAAAAATTTAAATATCAAAATGGGGTAGCCGGCCAAAAAAGTTTGGAAACCCCTGCATTAAAGGTGCAATATGCAGAAATCGCTCCGCCATTTCCTGGTTGCTAGAATTCTAATAGTTTGCCTAATTTCAGTTTATGTGACAAAACAAGCACTCAGTGTATCGTTCAGAGAATCATTGTACCATCTAAACCGCAGTAAAATATATTTTCAATAACCAAAAATATTGTAGTTTCATCTGTTTGAAGCTGGTGTACAAAACCTAAAGCAAAAGAACGGAAAGCATAGAAATACCGCACATACAGTGGGGGGAAAAAGTATTTCCACGTCTTCCCTCTGTCCCTTACAGGAAAGCTAGCCTGGCTCTGATCAGGAAGATGATCCACTACAGCTGTGAAGTGCTGCTGAAGGAGGTGTGTGACTCTGATGCCGGTCACAACCTGCCCACCGTGCTAGTGGAGATCACCGCCACCGTGCTGGATCAGGAGGTATGGCACTACATAACATCCATCTCTTTGTGTATGTGTGTGTTCCACCGTGCTGGATCAGGAGGTATGGCACTACATAACATCCATCTCTTTGTGTATGTGTGTGTTCCACTGTGCTGGATCAGGAGGTGTGTACGCACTCGTGTGTGTGTGTGTGTGTGTGATCCTCCACTGTTAACAACGTCCACCAATAACCTAATGCCTGTTAAAAATAAATGTAGTTGCACCAGCTTTCTAGTCATCCACAGGCTAAGTTAAATGTGGTGTCTCTTCCTGTACAGGACGATGATGACGGTCACCTGCTGGCGCTGCAGATCATCAGAGACCTGGTGGACAAGGGAGGAGACGTCTTCCTGGACCAGCTGGCTAGACTGGGCGTCATCAACAAGGTGTCCACTCTGGCTGGACCCACCTCAGACGATGAGAACGAGGAGGTGTCCAAACCAGAGAAGGTGTGATAAGAACGCCCTAATGCAGTCCAAATATGCACTGATAGAGCTTTGTGATTTCTGTGTGTAATAAAAAGCGTTCCGCAAAGAAAATGTATTATTTAAATATATTTTGTAATCTCTGGATGAGAGCGTCTGCTACAAGATGTAAATGTCTCTTGATTCACCAGGAGGATGAGCCACAGGAGGATGCCAAAGAGGTGCAGCAGGGGAAGCCCTACCACTGGCGTGACTGGTCCATTATCAGGGGGAGGGACTGCCTGTACATCTGGAGTGACGCTGCAGCCTTGGAGCTCTCCAACGGCTCCAACGGATGGTTCCGCTTCATCCTGGATGGCAAGCTGGCCACAATGTACTCCAGCGGCAGCCCCGAGGGAGGCTCCGACAGCTCAGGTAGACCTAGCTACATACCTTCTCAATTGACCTGGTATGTTATGACTTGAACTTCCCTCAACTAGTTACCTATTCCTCTCCATCTCTTATCAGAATTAAGGCCAGAATGAGCTCCTTCCACTCATGTACATGCAGTTGTAACAAGTGAATAACCGTATTATAATGGTGATAGCACAACCAACATCAAACTGTTCCAATTCCTCTAATGTACTACCTACCCAGAAAGTCGTAGTGAGTTTCTGGAGAAGCTGCAGCGTGCCCGGAGCCAGGTGAAGCCTGTGACAGCCAGCCAGCCCATCCTGTCTGCAATGGGTCCCACCAAGCTGACGGTGGGGAACTGGTCCCTGACCTGCCTGAAGGAGGGAGAGATCGCCATCCACAACTCTGACGGACAGCAGGCCACCATCCTCAAGGAGGACCTGCCCGGCTTCGTGTTCGAGTCCAACAGGGGCACCAAGCACTCCTTCACCGCTGAAACATCACTAGGTCAGTTAGTTTGAACTTCAGTGCATATAGATCATTATAATTCATGTTGTATTTAATTCTGTAGTTAAATGTGCCTAAATCGTTTATAGATTAATCTCTCTCTCATTTATTTATACATCTCATCTCAGGGTTTCCGTTATGAAAATGTGGCACCGGACATTTGACCGGCAGCATTTTAATTTACCGGACATTTGAGAAATGTACCATAACCTGATTAGGGCGTCCACCCACAGTGCTCAGAATGACAAAAATCTGATTTAGATTATGGTAATTCATTTTAACAGAACATACAAGTCGAGGATGCAATGACGTGTGTCCTTACCGCGCACTTTGAAGATGTTAGAATAACTGTCCACATTTACTTTTCTAGAGTAATGAACAGCAAAATCACTAGCCTATACATAGGTTGTGTGTGAGTTTCATGTTTGGGGAAGCATATTTTCACCTTGCATCTTTATAATAAAGCATTCCATGCATCATCACATTTGCGGACTTATGTAAAATAGCCTACTATTCGTGATTAGTAGATTGGATAGTCATAATTTAAGCTAATATACACTACCAGTCAAAAGTTTTGGACACATACTCATTCAAGGGTTTTTCTTTATTTGTACTGTTTTTTACAGTGTAGAATAATAGTGAAGACATCAACTATGAAATAACACATATGGAATCATGTAGTAACAAATAAATATATTTTATATTTAACATTCTTCAAATAGCCACCCTTTGCCTTGATGACAGCTTTGCACACTCTTGGCCGCTACAATCATGCAGTACTGTGTACAGTCAGTAAGCAGTTTAGCAGTTACTCCGGCAGGCCCCGGTGGCAATAAATTAGTAAAACCAAAAGCTTACCTTGACTTGGAAGAGATCCAGTGTTGTGTTGGATTGTCATAGCCAGCTAGCTAACATGGCATCCCTATGTTTGAGTAGACTAAACTAGCTAGCTGCATTTGCTAGCTAAGTAAAAATAAATGACTAAATATCTCTCTTGCTTCTCCTTCATTTTTGACTTTTCATCTATTGTCTTTCTCTGAGTCAACTACTAACCACATTTTATGCACTGCAGTGCTAGCTAGCTTATGCTTTCATTACTAGATTCATTGGATGGACAACATGTCAGTTCATGCTGCAAGAGCTCTGAAAGGTTGGAAGGACGTCCTCCGGAAGTTGTCATAATTACTGTGTTAGTCTATGGAAGGGGGTGAAAACCATGAGCCTTTTAGGTTTTGTATTGAAGTCAATGTACCCAGAGGAGGACGGAAGCTAGCTGTTCTCCGTCTACACCATGGTGCTACCCTACAGAGTGCTGTTGTGGCTACTTTAGACCTTCATTGCAAAACAGTGTTTTAATCAATTATTTGGTGACGTGAACATAGTATAGTTTTATCTAAAAAGGATAACCTTTTTTTATGTTTCACTGTTAAAAAATAAATAATCACTGAGGATTGTCCTCCCCTTCCACCTCTGAGGAGCCTCCACTGCTCCACGGATATGGTTGGGTTTTGCCTAGGCTACTTTGAAGAAAGGTAAAACATTCCTCATAATATGTAGTGAAACGTTCTGGTTTCAAACAATTAAGTAGCCATATGTTTTCAAAATGCGTACTGCCTCCAGCTCATTGCAATGTGTTGTGTAGCGCGCTTAAGCATTTGAATAGCGAATGGGAAGTGCACTTCAATTATCAGTTGAGAAAGAAAAAGAGTAGGATTTTTAAAATCATGGCCCCAAAATTTATAAGATCCATAACGAATATACACCCGGCAATTTAATTCCACTAAATTATGCAAATTAACCCAAAGACCAATAAGCATGATCGGTCAAATGTATTTACAGCAACTGGATTTTCCATCAATGAATAGGCTAAAAAGCATTTTCTCAATGGGATTTGTTTTCTATTCCCGGACAAATGGCCGGTGGCAATTTTTTATTCATCGGCTTTTCAAAAACAATTGTGGCTAAAAGCCGGCTATTACCGACTAACGAAAACCCTGAGATGGACTATAAATATGTGGTCCTCTGTAGCTCAGCTGGTAGAGCACGGCGCTTGTAACGCCAAGGTAGTGGGTTCGATCCCCGGGACCACCCATACACAAAAATGTATGCACGCATGACTGTAAGTCGCTTTGGATAAAAGCGTCTGCTAAATGGCATATTATTATTATTATTATTATTATTATTATTATTATAAATAAAAAAAATATGTGGAAACTCCTTCAAATGATTGGATTTGGCTATTTCAGCCACACCCGTTGCTGACAGGTGTCTAAAATCCAGCACACAGCCATGCAATCTGCATAGACAAACATTGGCAGTAGAATGGCCTTACTGAAGAGCTCAGTGACTTTCAACGTGGCACTGTCATAGGCACCTTTCCAGTTTATCACATTTCTGCCGTGCTAGAGCTTCCCCGGTCAGCTATAAGTGCTGCTGTTGTGAAGTGGAAACGTCTAGGAGCAACAATTGTTCATCCACGAAGTGGTAGGTCACTTCCCCTCATTATTGACTCACTGATATGGCTGAGTTTTTTCTTCTCACAGAATGGGACTGCCGAGTGCTGTAGTGTGTAAAAATCGTCTGTCCTCGGATGCAACACTCACTACCGAGTTCCAAACTGCCTCTGGAAGCAACGTCAGCACTAGAACTGTTCGTCGGGAGCTTCATGAAATGAGTTTCCATGGCCGAGCAGCCGCACACAAGCCTAAGATCACCATGCACAATGCCAAGCATCGGCTGGAGTGGTGTAAGCTCACCGCCATTGGACTCCGGAGCAGTGGAAACGCGTTCTCTGGAGTGATGAATCATGCTTCACCATCTGGTAGTCCGACGGACTAATCTGGGTTTGGCGGATGCCAGGAGAACGCTACCTGCCCGAATGCATAGTGCAAACTGTAAAGTTTGGTGGAGGAGGAATAATGGTCTGGGGCTGTTTTTCATGGTTTGGGCTAGGCCCCTTTAGTTCCAGTGAAGGGAAATCTTAACGCTACAGCATACAATGACATTCTAGACGATTTTGTGCTTCCAACTTTGAGGCAACAGTTTGGGGAAGGCCCTTTCCTGTTTCAGCATGACAATACCCCCGTGCACAAAGCGAGGTCCATACAGAAATGGTTTGTCGATCGGTGTGGAAGAACTGCCTGCACAGAGCCCTGACCTCAACCCCATCGAAAGTCTTTGGGATTAATTGGAATGCCGACTGCGAGCCAGGCCTAATCGCCCCGACATCAGTCCCCGCAGCAATGTTCCAACATCTAGTGGAAAGCCTTCCTAGAAGAGTGGCAGCTGTTATAGCAGCAAAGGGGGGACCAACTCCATATTAATGCCCATGATTTTGGAAAGAGATGTTCGATGAGCAGGTGTCCACATACTTTTGGTCATGTATTGTATGTGTATATGTGTGTGTAAAGAAAAATGTAAAGTTATCCTCTACTAGAATGATGTGGTGATGGCCTGCATTTGATGGGGATTGTCTTATAGTTTTTCTTCTCTGTTTGTGTTGTGTTGTACAGGGTCAGAATTTGTGACTGGCTGGACTGGAAAGAGGGGAAGAAAGCTCAAATCCAAATTGGAGAAAACAAAACAAAAGGTGGATGTTTTGTTTTCTAGCAGTGAAGTCCGTCTGCTGTTCAGTGTTTTCACAGGTTTTTTTTTTTATTAGATTTTTTTAAGCCAGCTTCCTCCTTCCTGAATTTAGAAGATTACTTTGTCTATTGTCACAGGGACACAGTTTTTTTTGTTGTTGCTTTAGAACACATGACATATTATCCATCTAGTTTAGCCGTCACATCATTCTTCTGTTTAATAAACAGCAGGTAGGCTTGGGCGGTATCCAGATTGTCATACCTTTACACCGGCCTTGTTCCGTGCAGGGATCTTCGGTAATACCGACACTGAACATAGGGGGCGTTATTTTCAAACTCCACTGAGCCTTTGTAATCCGAAGGTTAGCAATGCTAACAATTACATGTAAAATCCCATAGAGAATGCTAACGAGCGCATTGTGAACATTTTATACAGTCTCTGACCTAAACTATTTTCAGGACAGACATCCCAGCTCATGAAGTTATTACAAGTAACTAAAAAATGCTACTCCCAGTTTACTGCACGCACAAAACTAATATTAGACATATTTTGGAAGAAGCTAACCACTTAGCTAGATAGGTAAGTAGCTACTACATTAGCGAACCATATTTTACATTTTTTACATTTTAGTCATTTAGCAGACGCTCTTAACCAGAGCGACTTACAGGAGCAATTAGGGTTAAGTGCCTTGCTCAAGGGCACATTAACGTCATTTAGCAGACGCTCTTAGCCAGAGCGACTCACAAATTGGTGCGTTCACCCTATAGCCAGTGGGATAACCACTTTACAATTTGGGGGGGGGGGGGGGGGTTAGAAGGAATACTTTATCCTATCCCAGGTATTCCTTAAAGAGGTGGGGTTTCAAATGTCTCCGGAAGGTGGTGAGTGACTCCGCTGTCCTGGCGTCGTGAGGGAGCTTGTTCCACCATTGGGGTGCCAGAGCAGCGAACAGTTTTGACTGGGCTGAGCGGGAGCTGTGCTTCCGCAGAGGAAGGGGAGCCAGCAGGCCAGAGGTGGATGAACGCAATGTCCTCGTTTGGGTGTAGGGACTGATCAGACCCTGAAGGTACAGAGGTGCCGTTCCCCTCACTGCTCCATAGGCAAGCACCATGGTCTTGTAGCGGATGCGAGCTTCAACTGGAAGCCAGTGGAGTGTGCGGAGGAGGGGGGTGACGTGAGAGAACTTGGGAAGGTTGAACACCAGACGGGCTGCGGCATTCTGGATGAGTTGTAGGGGTTTAATGGCACAGGCAGGGAGCCCAGCCAACAGCGAGTTGCAGTAGTCCAGACGGGAGATGACAAGTGCCTGGACCAGGACCTGCGCCGCTTCCTGTGTAAGGCAGGGTCGCACTCTCCGAATGTTGTAGAGCATGAACCTGCAGGAGCGGGTCACCGCCTTGATGTTGGCGGAGAACGACAGGGTGTTGTCCAGGGTCACGCCTAGGCTCTTCGCACTCTGGGAGGAGGACACAGCGGAGTTGTCAACCGTGATGGCGAGATCATGGAACGGGCAGTCCTTCCCCGGGAGGAAGAGCAGCTCCGTCTTGCCAGGGTTCAGCTTGAGGTGGTGATCCGTCATCCATACTGATATGTCTGCCAGACATGCAGAGATGCGATTCGCCACCTGGTTATCAGAAGGGGGAAAGGAGAAGATTAGTTGTGTATCGTCAGCGTAGCAATGATAGGAGAGACCATGTGAGGATATGACAGAGCCAAGTGACTTGGTGTATAGGGAGAAAAGGAGAGGGCCCAGAACCGATCCCTGGGGGACACCAGTGGTGAGAGCACGTGGTGCGGAGACAGCTTCCCGCCACGCCACTTGGTAGGAGCGACCGGTCAGGTAGGACGCAATCCAGGAGTGAGCCGCGCCGGAGATGCCCATCTCGGAGAGGGTGGAGAGGAGGATCTGATGGTTCACAGTATCAAAGGCAGCAGACAGGTCTAGAAGGACAAGAGCAGAGGAGAGAGAGTTAGCTTTAGCAGTGCGGAGAGTCTCCGTGACACAGAGAAGAGCAGTCTCAGTTGAATGACCAGTCCTGAAACCTGATTGGTTTGGATCAAGAAGGTCATTCTGAGAGAGATAGCAAGAGAGTTGGCTAAAGACGGCACGCTCAATAGTTTTGGAAAGAAAAGAAAGAAGGGATACTGGTCTGTAGTTGTTGACATCAGTGGGGTCGAGTGTTGGTTTTTTGAGGAGGGGAGCAACTCTCGCTCTCTTGAAGACGGAAGGGACATGGCCAGCGGTCAAGGATGAGTTGATCAGCGAGGTGAGGTAGGGGAGAAGGTCACCGGAGATGGTCTGGAGAAGGGAGGAGGGGATGGGGTCAAGCGGGCAGGTTGTTGGGCGGCCTGCAGTCACAAGTCGCAGGATTTTATCTGGAGAGAGAGGGGAGAAAGAAGTCAAAGCATAGGGTAGGGCAGTGTGAGCAGGACCAGCAGTGTTATTAGACTTAACAAACGAGGATCGGATGTCCAAATGTACCAAATGTACAACTACAGAGCATTTGGCACATTTTAGACAGTTCACTTAATAGTTATAAGATATCTAGCTGGCAAACATTTAGTTGTGAATTCCATACTGTAACTAGATCACCTGACTTGTGCTGAACAACAGTGAGTGACTCATAAGGCTGCGGTCTCTCGTCATTGTGTGCTTGTAAACAAACACCACGGGACTGGGTACTACTACCGGTAAGCTTCATGATGAAACATTTATCTGACAGGTGAAATGAAGAACACAATCTTCTTTATCATATTTCACAAGTTGACTGCAGGTATTTACTTAAAAAGTAGCTGCAAATATTCCAATTTGTAAATAACAAAACTTACACACCGAAATCACAAAACCCTTGGCTATTTCCAAATACCCGGTGTACCGCCCAAGCCTAACAGCAGGTTTTATGCTAGTTATCCCTCACGCTTTCCTTAACACCCAGTGAGCCTAGAGCCCCTCCTTGTCTGTTCCTATGTTGTGATGTGTGGTTGTGTTACCTACCTTAGTTGAATGTACTGATTTGTAAGTGGCTCTGGATACGAGCGTCTGCTAAACAGCTAAAACGTCAAATGCAGGTGAAGACCATGGCCAGAGACCTGTATGATGACCACTTCAAGGCGGTAGAGAGCATGCCCAGAGGGGTGGTGGTCACCCTGAGGAACATCGCCACCCAGCTGGAGTCTGCTTGGGAGCTGCATACCAACAGACAGGTAGGTAAAAAAAGTACATGAACTCTAACCTAAATGTATGTCAGAGTCGGATAACATTATGATTACCAACAGACAGGTTGGTGGGGGAATCGCCCTGGAGCACTCACACAACACACATTGACATAAACTCATGTCTACTTACACTTTATGGAAATGCACCTCAATGCAATTTACAGTAAAATCGGTACATTCATAAAAAACAAAGTAGATATTTTGAATGACTTCCCCTCATTATTGACTCACTCTGATATGGAGTTTTTTTGTTCTCTTTGTGCTGTCTGAAGCTGTAGGCTACAGGTTTGACGCTGTGAAAGTTAAATGTGTTTTGTTTCTGTAGCAGTGTATCGAGGGAGAGAACACATGGAGAGACTTGATGAAGACGGCTCTGGAAAACTTGATTGTGGTTCTCAAGGATGAGAACACCATCTCCCCCTATGAAATGTGCAGCAGTGGCCTAGTGCAAGCACTTTTTACAGTTCTTAATAATGTAAGTAGGATGGGATGGATGAGGTGTACAGGGTAGTACTGTATACAGGAATACGGTGCCATCTGGGCTGCAGAGTTCTCTTCCTTTCTAAGCCTTTTTCTCAACACTGTCTGGGTAACTAACTTCCTCAATGTTGGGACAATAAAGCTTTCTGAATCTGAATATTTTGTGTGATTAGTCCAACTCCTGCTCAATTAATGTTTTTGTCTTTTTCAGAGTGTGGAACTTGACATGAAACATGATTGTAAACCATTAATGGAAAGAATAAATGTATTTAAAACCGCATTCAGTGAAAACGAAGATGATGAAAGGTAATAATTCTGACTTTTATATAATTAATTATTTGTATTAATGTATTGTAGTTAAAAAAAAAAAAAAACATCTGCCAGTGGCTCACCTGGTTTTTCCCATTCATTCAGCCGACCCGCAGTTGCCTTAATCCGCAAACTACTAGCAGTCCTGGAGTCCATTGAGAGGTTACCTCTGCACCTGTATGACACCCCAGGCTCCACCTATAACCTGCAGGTGAGTCTCTCCTCCACCACACCTCTCAGTAGTATAGTGGTGGGGGACAGTTGTTTTTGTTTGTTCCAGTGACCTGTAAAACTAATTCTAGGGATGGGCATGAGTAATTGAGTACTTGAACTGACATCAAAACTCAATCTTTAACCAGAGATCACTTTTATTTTTTTTTAAATACTGTAAAACTATTTGGTTTATCTATTTGGCAGTTTTGGAATAATTGCATCATTTTCCGCTTAGGCTACTTTGCAGTTGCCACAGTCAAAATGGTCAAATAATCAAAACAAAAATAAGCTTTTTGGTTTTAATTTAAGGTTAAGTGTGGTTAAGGTTAGGTTTAAAATCAGATTTTGTAAAAACAGGCAGGGTTTATGACATTGTGTCTGTGGTAACTAACGTTAGTGACGACCCTACTTTGCGAACTGCTAGTGGCATTTAGAATTCAAATCAAATCAAATCAAATTGTATTGGTCACATGCGCCGAATACAACAGGTGCAGACATTACAGTGAAATGCTTACTTACAGCCCTTAACCAACAGTGCATTTATTTTAAACAAAAAAAGTAAGAATAAAACAACAACAAAAAAAGTGTTGAGAAAAAAAGAGCAGAAGTAAAATAAAGTGACAGTAGGGAGGCTATATATACAGTAAAATAAAGTGACAGTAGGGAGGCTATATATACAGGGGGGTACCGTTGCAGAGTCAATGTGCGGGGGCACCGGCTAGTTGAGGTAGTTGAGGTAATATGTACATGTGGGTAGAGTTAAAGTGACTATGCATAAATACTTAACAGAGTAGCAGCAGCGTAAAAAGGATGGGGTGGGGGGGCAGTGCAAATAGTCCGGGTAGCCATGATTAGCTGTTCAGGAGTCTTATGGCTTGGGGGTAGAAGCTGTTGAGAAGTCTTTTGGACCTAGACTTGGCACTCCGGTACCGCTTGCCGTGCGGTAGCAGAGAGAACAGTCTATGACTAGGGTGGCTGGAGTCTTTGACAATTTTGAGGGCCTTCCTCTGACACCGCCTGGTATAGAGGTCCTGGATGGCAGGGAGCTTTGCCCCAGTGATGTACTGGGCCGTACGCACTACCCTCTGTAGTGCCTTGCGGTCAGAGGCCAAGCAGTTGCCATACCAGGCGGTGATGCAACCAGTCAGGATGCTCTCGATGGTGCAGCTGTAGAATTTTTTGAGGATCTGAGGACCCATGCCAAATCTTTTCAGTCTCCTGAGGGGGAATAGGCTTTGTCGTGCCCTCTTCACGACTGTCTTGGTGTGTTTGGACCATGATAGTTCGTTGGTGATGTGGACACCAAGGAACTTGAAGCTCTCAACCTGTTCCACTACAGCCCCGTCGATGAGAATGGGGGCGTGCTCAGTCCTCTTTTTTTTCCTGTAGTCCACAATCATCTCCTTTGTCTTGGTCACGTTGAGGGAGAGGTTGTTGTCCTGGCACCACACGGCCAGATCTCTGACCTCCTCCCTATAGGCTGTCTCATCGTTGTCGGTGATCAGGCCTACCACTGTTGTGTCGTCGGCAAACTTAATGATGGTGTTGGAGTCGTGCCTGGCCATGCAGTCATGGGTGAACAGAGAGTACAGGAGGGGACTGAGCACGCACCCCTGAGGGGCCCCCGTGTTGAGGATCAGTGTGGCAGATGTGTTGTTACCTACCCTTACCACCTGGGGGCGGCCCGTCAGGAAGTCCAGGATCCAGTTGCAGAGGGAGGTGTTTAGTCCCAGGATCCTTAGCTTAGTGATGAGCTTAGAGGGCACTATGGTGTTGAATGCTGAGCTGTAGTCAATGAATAGCATTCTCACGTAGGTGTTCCTCTTTTCCAGGTGGGAGAGGGCAGTGTGGAGTGCGATAGAGATTGCATCATCTGTGGATCTGTTGGGGCGGTATGCAAATTGGAGTGGGTCTAGGGTTTCTGGGATTATGCTGTTGATGTGAGCCATGACCAGTCTTTCAAAGCACTTCATGGCTACAGACGTCAGTGCTACGGGTCGGTAGTCATTTAGGCAGGTTATCTTAGAGTTCTTGGGCACGGGGACTATGGTGGTCTGCTTGAAACATGTTGGTATTACAGACTCAGTCAGGGACATGTTGAAAATGTCAGTGAAGACACTTGCCAGTTGGTCAGCACATGCTCGGAGTACACGTCCTGGTAATCCGTCTGGCCCTGCGGCCTTGTGAATGTTGACCTGCTTAAAAGTCTTACTCACATCGGCTACGGAGAGCGTGATCACATAGTCGTCCGGAACAGCTGGTGCTCTCATGCATGCTTCAGTGTTGCTTGCCTCGAAGCGAGCATAGAAGTGGTTTAGCTCGTCTGGTAGGCTTGTGTCACTGGGCAGCTCGCGGCTGTGCTTCCCTTTGTAGTCTGTAATAGTTTTCAAGCCCTGCCACATCCGACGAGCGTCAGAGCCAGTGTAGTATGATTCAATCTTAGACCTGTATTGACTCTTTGCCTGTTTGATGGTTCGTCGGAGGTCATAGCGGGATTTCTTATAAGCGTCCGGGTTAGAGTCCCGTTCCTTGAAAGCGGCAGCTCTACCCTTTAGCTCAGTGCGGATGTTTCCTGTAATCCATGGCTTCTGGTTGGGGTATGTACGTACGGTCACTGTGGGGACGACATCATCAATGCACTTATTGATGAAGCCAGTGACTGATGTGGTGTACTCCTCAATGCTGTCTGAAGAATCCCGGAACATGTTCCAGTCTGTGCTAGCAAAACAGTCCTGTAGCTTAGCATCTGCGTCATCTGACCACTTTTTTATTAACCGAATCACTGGTGCTTCCTGCTTCAGTTTTTGCTTATAAGCAGGAATCAGGAGGATAGAGTTATGGTCAGATTTGCCAAATGGAGGGCGAGGGAGAGCTTTGTATGCGTCTCTGTGTGTGGAGTAAAGGTGGTCTAGAGTTTTTTGCCCTCTGGTTGCACATTTAACATGCTGGTAGAAATTAGGTAGAACGGATTTAAGTTTCCCTGCATTAAAGTCCCCGGCTACTAGGAGCGCTGCATCTGGATGAGCGTTTTCCTGTTGATTAATGGCCTTGTACAACTCATTCAGTGCAATCTTAATGCCAGCATTGGTTTGTGGTGGTAAATAGACAGCTATGAAAAATATAGATGAAAACTCTCTTGGTAAATAGTGTGGTCTACAGCTTATCATCGAATTGGTTAGCCTAGGCTATAATCCCCCTAAATATAGACAGGTTCCACACTGAAAATATGCTAAAACATTAGTTTGATAAAGACATAGTGTATTTTCATCAGAATCATTAAGCTGACCATTAAGCTAACCAAACAGATGTCCTGGCCATAATTCATATCCATGCAGTGTTCAATGTAGAATTGTTAATCCATTTAGAAAATTCCAAGGAACAGGCATAATAAACTAAGATTGAACGTCTGTATATTGAAAAGACAGATTTTGGTTTGTAATCCTAACAAATTGAGCACTGTTTCAAATTATCACTCTTTGACGCGAGATGCGAATCACTTCGCACTATTCTGTTGTATTTTATTCTGTTATATTACCAGCTTTTATTTTACTATTAAATAGGCGTGTCTTGACTGTGATAAGGGCTTAGTAAATAAGAGCGTCTTGTCTGCTAAATTAACAAAACAATGCTATACCGTTGCACAGCCACAGGCTTCTACAAGCAAGCGCCACTGCTGAGGTGTTACTACCTTTTTGAAGATTGTGTTCCACAATATAATATAACCAGTTGATATTACGGTTTCAATAAATGTATCTTAAATTGCACTTGTTTTTTTTTTATTGACTGAATATATACAGTGGGGGAAAAAAGTATTTAGTCAGCCACCAATTGTGCAAGTTCTCCCACTTAAAAAGATGAGAGAGGCCTGTAATTTTCATCATAGGTACACGTCAACTATGACAGACAAAATGAGGAAAAAAAATCCAGAAAATCACATTGTAGGATTTTTAATGAATTTATTTGCAAATTATGGTGGAAAATAAGTATTTGGTCAATAACAAAAGTTTCTCAATACTTTGTTATATACCCTTTGTTGGCAATGACACAGGTCAAATGTTTTCTGTAAGTCTTCACAAGGTTTTCACACACTGTTGCTGGTATTTTGGCCCATTCCTCCATGCATATCTCCTCTAGAGCAGTGATGTTTTGGGGCTGTCGCTGGGCAACACGGACTTTCAACTCCCTCCAAAGATTTTCTATGGGGTTGAGATCTGGAGACTGGCTAGGCCACTCCAGGACCTTGAAATGCTTCTTACGAAGCCACTCCTTCGTTGCCCGGGTGGTGTGTTTGGGATCATTGTCATGCTGAAAGACCCAGCCACGTTTCATCTTCAATGCCCTTGCTGATGGAAGGAGGTTTTCACTCAAAATCTCACGATACATGGCCCCATTCATTCTTTCCTTTACACGGATCAGTCGTCCTGGTCCCTTTGCAGAAAAACAGCCCCAAAGCATGATGTTTCCACCCCCATGCTTCACAGTAGGTATGGTGTTCTTTGGATGCAACTCAGCATTCTTTGTCCTCCAAACACGACGAGTTGAGTTTTTACCAAAAAGTTATATTTTGGTTTCATCTGACCATATGACATTCTCCCAATCCTCTTCTGGATCATCCAAATGCACTCTAGCAAACTTCAGACGGGCCTGGACATGTACTGGCTTAAGCAGGGGGACACGTCTGGCACTGCAGGATTTGAGTCCCTGGCGGCGTAGTGTGTTACTGATGGTAGGCTTTGTTACTTTGGTCCCAGCTCTCTGCAGGTCATTCACTAGGTCCCCCCGTGTGGTTCTGGGATTTTTGCTCACCGTTCTTGTGATCATTTTGACCCCACGGGGTGAGATCTTGCGTGGAGCCCCAGATCGAGGGAGATTATCAGTGGTCTTGTATGTCTTCCATTTCCTAATAATTGCTCCCACAGTTGATTTCTTCAAACCAAGCTGCTTACCTATTGCAGATTCAGTCTTCCCAGCCTGGTGCAGGTCTACAATTTTGTTTCTGGTGTCCTTTGACAGCTCTTTGGTCTTGGCCATAGTGGTGTTTGGAGGTGGACTGTTTGAGGTTGTGGACAGGGTGTTTTTTACTGAGACAAGTTCAAAACAGGTGCTTTAATACAGGTAAGAGTGGAGGACAGAGGAGCCTCTTAAAGAAGAAGTTACAGGTCGTGAGAGCCAAGAAATCTTGCTTGTTTTGTAGGTGACCAAATACTTATTTTCCACTAATTTGCAAATAAATCATAAAAAAATCCTACAAGTGATTTTCTGGAATTCTTTTCTCAATTGTCTGTCATAGTTGACGTGTAACCTATGAGAAAATTACCGCCTTCTCATCTTTTTAAGTGGGAGAACTGCACAATGGTGGCTGACTAAATACTTTTTTTCACCACTGTATATGGGGGGGGGATCCTACGAGTACCCGAACAGTCAAAGGTCAAATGCCCATCCCTAACTAATTCCTGTGTGTGTGTTTTAGATCCTGACGAGGAGGTTGCGTTTCCGTCTGGAGCGTGCGCCTGGGGAGACGGCGCTGATTGACCGTACAGGGCGAATGCTGAAGATGGAGCCCCTGGCCACCGTGGAGTCTCTGGAGCAGTACCTCCTCAAGATGGTACCACCCCCTCTACCTCAACCATGTTTAATCTTCTCTCTCTATCTGTCCATTCAGCATGTTCAGTCTCAGAGTCATCTCCTCTCTCCCCCAGGTGGCCAAGCAGTGGTACGACTTTGACAGATCCTCATTCATCTTCGTCAGGAAGCTAAGAGAGGGACAGACCTTCACATTCAGACATCAGCATGATTTTGACGAGAACGGAATAGTCTACTGGATTGGCACCAATGCAAAGTACGTCTCCTCCCATCGTCTTTATGTGTAAAGACCTGATAATAAGCTAAAGTCTTATTATACAATACAATAAAGTATTTAGAAAATAACCTTGTATTAAACTTGTGTGTTTCCTCTGTCTCTAGGACTGCCTATGAGTGGGTGAACCCAGCAGCCTACGGCCTGGTGGTAGTGACTTCTTCTGAGGGTCGTAATCTCCCCTATGGCCGACTGGAGGACATCCTGAGTCGGGACAGCTCTGCCCTCAACTGCCACACCAACGACGATAAGAACGCCTGGTTCGCCATCGACCTGGGCCTGTGGGTCATCCCCTCGGCCTACACCCTCCGCCACGCCCGTGGCTACGGCCGCTCCGCCCTCAGGAACTGGGTGTTCCAGGTGTCCAAAGACGGCCAGACCTGGATGAGTCTCTACAACCACATGGAGGACTGCAGCCTCAACGAGCCAGGGTAAGTAAGCCTTGTCCCAGTCACAAGGGCCTATATCCAGGAGCTTATGGTTAGAACTCAGGACCCTAAACCTATAAGGCGGATTCTGACAGTGAGTTTGTCTCCTGTCATGAAGGTCCACGGCCACTTGGCCTCTGGACCCGTCCAAAGAGGAGAAACAGGGCTGGAGACACATCCGCATCAAGCAGATGGGGAAGAATGCCAGCGGGCAGACTCACTACCTGTCTCTGTCAGGCCTGGAGATCTACGGCACCGTCAGTGGCGTGTGTGAGGACCAGCTAGGTAAGAGTCTGCGCCTGTGTTCTCTCGGTTTCTTCTGTCTAGGGGGTTTGGCCTTGCCACTTCTGCTTGCTCTTTGGGGGTCTAAGATCTTGCCACTGCTGTCAAGAAACATTCAAAACACGAAAGTATTTTAACAACGTGTGTGTGCGTGGAGCACTCTTTTTGCTGAGACACTGGTTGTAGTATGTTTATGAGTCATTATTCATTAGATTTGAACGATGCAAAGCAATCTGACCAATCTCCTTCTCCCTTCTACAGGTAAAGCAGTGAAGGAAGCGGAGGCCAACCTGCGCAGGCAGCGGCGTCTGTTCCGCTCCCAGGTGATGAAGTACATAGTGCCTGGGGCGCGCGTGGTGCGGGGCATCGACTGGAAGTGGAGAGACCAGGATGGCAACCCAGCAGGAGAGGGTACGGTGACGGGGGAGGCCCATAACGGTAAGACACGAGCCCCACTATCTAATAAAACATCCCTCTGTGTGGAACTGAACACCCACACAGCTTGCATAGAAAGCTTTTGTTTTTATATGAAGAAAGTGTTTGTTAAGAAATGTTCTGCTGGACTTAGTCGGCTGACAAGATGATGCATGTTTCAACTGCTAAAGCAGGACATAATGCAGAGCTTTATCCCAGAATAAACCCATACGTCACCCCATCATTATCACGTAGACAGTGGGGAGTGTTTATAATAGTCGTTCAGAGAAATCGGGCTACGTAACTATGACGATTGAACATAGGATGTGCAAAAACTAGTAACAATGGAGTCATTGATAAATATGGTAGACCAACAACAAAACAAATTGTGAACATCAAGTGCATTTATATGCTTTGAGGAGCATACCTCTATTACTAACGCTCGTAGAAAAGTCTCACTTTTGTATGTTAAATACTGTGGGGTGGGGGGGTCAGCCAGAAGAAATCAACCAGCAGTTGTTCATTATGTCCTTACATAACATTTTTTTTTCTATAACCCTGATCAGTAACTTTAAAAACAATGTCTGTATAAGACATTGTACAGGTGGATTGTGGGCGATGCAACTCAACATTTCCAAACGGTCCAGTCTTTGTTCCTGGTTTTCCAACTGAAGGCTTTCTCTTCTGCTTCTGACCTCACACTATAGGCCTATTAATTAACCTACTTCTTCTGACCTCACACTATAGGCCTATTAATTAACCTGCTTCTTCTGACCTCACACTATAGGCCTACTTCCTCCTCTTCATCCCTATTGGCAAATAAGGCAATGCTTTATGTTAATGAAGGATAAATAATAACCTTCAAAAGCACTTTATCTAACTGTAGAGGCTGAGCACTGACTACAGAGCAGCCTAGTGTTTGATCAGAGTCAGTGCTACTGCTCTGCTGTGTGACTAGACTGCATTACGTGGGGCTCATCCTCCTATTGCTCTCCTTCCCTGCATTATTTTATTTATTTTAAATTTAACCTTTATTTTTTATGATTAAATACAAGGGGCGTGAAAAGGATTACATATTACCTATCTCTGTATGCCAAACGTCTTTTAAAACCACTCCCATTATCATTTACGTATTTGACTAAACTTGCAAACTGTCACTACCATTATACCCTTTTTGTTATTAGTTTGATATTTTGAAGTGCAACCCTCCCCCTCTCCCCCAACTTACCAGGTAACCTTTTCATACTTGTACAAGCATTTCCTCCTTCGCTATCTGTTAGATCTCTGGGCAGCCATGTTTCCAGTGTGTTTAAATACTTTTTGACTAATTGTCTCCATCAATCAGCTGAGTGCATGTTGATGTCACAATTTGCAAGCACTGAATGGGCTCCATTGCAATTGTATTATATTTACATTGACAAAAATATTATTCAGTTCCTTTTTCTCAAGTGGCTTTCAGCTTTGCATTTGCAAAATTCTACCTTGCTTTGTCATTTTCTGTAACTCATGATCTCTATCTCATTGCTTCACCTGGACCAGAGTAATAGAACATACAGTTTTGTCAAGACATCCAATATCTCAATTTGACTTGCTATTGGTTTAACTATTCAGCACAATGCTAACATACTGACTATCAGCTTCAGCATAGCTGCATAGAATGGCATACTGATGGTGAATAATGGATCTAGTCTGAAGCTGTATTCAGCCCACCTGTAGACAACGTTGCTGTCACAAACATGGTTATCTGGTCCAGTGTCGAGCGGAGCTGCTGTCTTGACTTGCTGTCTGCTCTCTGCTGGGTCTCACTACATTCATATCCTTTTCCAGGCTGGATTGATGTCACCTGGGATGCTGGTGGCTCAAACTCTTATCGTATGGGTGCTGAAGGAAAATTTGACCTCAAGCTTGCGCCAGGGTACGACCCTGAGTCTGCGCCGTCACCCAAACCTGTCTCATCCACTGTTTCAGGCACAGCGCAGTCCTGGAGCAGCCTGGTGAAAAATAACTGTCCGGACAAGGGCGGCTCCTCCTCGGCTGCAGGGGCCAGCTCCTCCAGCCGGAAGGGCAGTAGCAGCTCGGTGTGTAGTGTGGCCAGCAGCAGCGATATCAGTCTCAGCTCCACCAAGGTAGAGCGCCGGGCCGATAGCCTGCTGGAGCAGGGGGGGGTACTAGGGGTTGGTGGTGGCATCCCCGGGGCTGAGGGCCAAGAGCCCATTGTGGTGCTGTCCTCCGCCGAGGCCGGATCCGCCTCCAGCACCAGCACGTTAACCACCGAGGAGGGTGGCGAGCGGAAAGCGGGCGTGGACAGGCAAGCGGAGGCAGACGCCACGGCCATCTCCATGGGACTAGTCAGCGTCAGCTCGCCCGACGTCAGCTCCGTGTCCGAGTCCTCCAGTAAGGAGGCTGCTTCCCAGAGGCCTCTATGTTCCGTGGCCAGCGCCCGTCTGTCCGTCAGCTCTCTGCTGGCGGCCGGCGCGCCCATGAGCTCCAGCGCCAGCGTACCCAACCTGTCGTCACGGGAGGCCAGCCTCATGGAGTCGTTTGTGCGGCGGGCTCCTAACATGTCCCGCACCAATGCCACCAACAACATGAACCTGAGCCGCAGCAGCAGCGACAACAACACCAACACACTGGGACGAAACGTCATGAGCACTGCCAGTGAGTATTCAGCCTCTACTGTCTGCAGGCCAGGGACGCATGAGATACATGCAGCCCTCAGTCCTCAGCCTTCAGTCCTCCTCAGCCTTCAGTGCACATAAAGGGACCACTGCCCAGCCAGCTCACTGGACATTATTGGCATTACTTGTAGAAGGAGCCTTGTAGCTTTGGTTTGAGATTTGGTCACACTTTTACATAAACGTAGAGTTTAGCTTCAGCTTGTACGGTAATACATTATCACATTTGTACATTAACCTGGAGTAGTAGTCAACATTAAACTTGTCCTGGCAATGTAAAATTATTTTTAAAAAGTACTGTGAATGAATACATCACAAAAGTATATATATTTTGTATATTGCGTTCAATATTGATATGATTGCTAATCTGACTCTTGATCACCACACAAAGGGAAGAAACAGGACAGACACTCATCTAGCCAAGAAGAAGAAATACTGGCTTCACATATCTGAATGGTGTTCTTGCTTTTGTGCTTCAGTTTTTTTGTGGTTTTCTTTGCTCTAATATTAGGCTATTTTGTTAAACCAAGGAGAATCAAATGCTTCACCAATAAATTGTATTTTTGCTTTGCTGACAGTGTATTTCTGACATTTTCTAATTACAGTTTTGCGTCATCCCTATGTAGAGTGAGCGGTGGGTCGGTAGAAATAATGATCAGTGCATACTTTTATAATGTTGACCTTTTAAAAGTAAGATACACTTTTTTTTTTTAAACCTCAAAACATGACTTCCAGTGGTCGAAAGGTGCTGACTGAGGCTTGAATGTGACGAGCATGTGTAGTGGTAGAAGTGCAACCAGCATTCAGTTTGAATTGGAACCAGTCAAAATAATAACTGCTTATTTTTCTGTTTGGGAACTAATCGCATTTTGGGTTTTTGTTTGCAGCTTCTCCTCTCATGGGTGCGCAGAGCTTTCCTAACCTCACCACCACTGGTACCACCTCAACTGTTACAATGTCCACATCCATAGTAACCAGCAGCAATAATGTAGCCACGGCAACCACAGGTTTGTCGGTTGGCCAGCTGCTCAGTAACACTCTTACGACCAGCCTGACCTCTACGTCTAGTGAGAGTGACACTGGTCAGGATGCTGAGTTTTCCCTTTATGGTAGGCTTTACTAGACTTACTATTATTATTCCTGTATTATACAGCTCTCATATCCTCCTCCACTACTTTTCTGCTTCTTCATCATTTAACACTTATGTGTTTCTACTGCCTAACTTCCATCTTGTCATTTCACACTTCTTGACTCATCAGTGTCCTCCTCGTACATTTGGCTAGTGCTTTCTGACTGACACTATATAAAGTGCATTATGATCAGAGTTGTTTCTAGTGAGATCTCACCTGCGTCCTACTCTCCCTGCAGACTTCCTGGACAGCTGTCGTGCTAACACATTATTGGCTGAGTTAGATGATGAGGAGGATCTGCCTGAGCCAGATGATGATGATGATGATGAGAATGAGGATGACAATCAGGAAGACCAAGAGTATGAGGAAGTTTTGGTACGGTCCAGGGTAAACCTTGGTTTCCACATTCATTTTAATAGGGTAAAATCTGTTGCAGTTTCTATTCATATAAAGTGTACTTGTCGATTGCATGCTTGCACCCCCTTAAAAAAAGAATTGCCTGAAAACCTCCCTATTTCAGTTTGTAAGTTCTTGTGGATTTCCAATGTGAAGTGTGTGACTAAATGTATGTGATGTTGTTTTTTCTTTTGTTTTTATGAATGTTTGTTTCTCCTGTAAACGTCGATCTGTGTTGTGTGTAATACCTTGCCTGCCACTCCCAGAGAACTGAGGGCTGTTGTTCATGTCCTGTTTTATCAGGAAGAGGAAGAGTATGAAACCAAAGGGGGTCGGCGTAGAACCTGGGACGATGACTTTGTCCTCAAACGCCAGTTCTCTGCTTTAGTCCCGGCGTTTGACCCCAGGCCAGGCCGGACCAACGTCCAGCAGACTACTGACCTGGAGATACCTCCCCCAGGTACACAAACACGACACGAGTATTCAGTTCAATATTTATGACTGTGGATGGACTTGGATTGTACATGATTACTAGACAAATGGCAAGTCTTTCACACATACTTAAATTGCACCCTAGGGCACAGTGGTGAGCTCTTTCCTCATGTTTTTCCTTGTCCTTGCAGGTACACCTCGATCTGAAGTCCAGGAGGAGGTTGAGTGTGCCCCCTCCCCTCACCTCGCCCTCATCCTCAAAGTGGCAGGGCTTGGAACCACCCGAGAAGTTGAACTACCTCTCTCCAACTACAAGGGTACTATATTTTACTATGTCCAGAAGCTTCTACAGCTCTCCTGCAACGGGAGCATCAAATCGGATAAACTACGCCGGATCTGGGAACCCACGTACACGTAAGTCTGCCTGGCAGGGTGCTAGTTGTTTAGGTGTTTTTAGTTTTTCCTAATGATTCTAACTTGACGCTATGATGAAACCTAAACTGAAAATAGCTGGAATTACTGGCAGATTTTTTATTTTATTTTATTTAACCTTTATTTAACCAGGTTAGCCAGTTGAGAACAAGTTCTCATTTACAACTGCGACCTGGCCAAGATAAAGCAAAGCAGTGCGATAAAAACAACACAGAGTTACATATGGGGTAAAACAAAACATAAAGTAAAAAAATATAACAGAAAATATATATACAGTGTGTGCAAATGTAGCAAGTTATGGAGGTAAGGCAATAAATAGGCTATAGTGCAAAATAATTACAATTAGTATTAACACTGGAATGCTAGATGTGCAAGAGATTGTGCAAATAGAGATACTGGGGTGCAAAAGAGCAAAATAAATAACAATATAGGGATGAGGTAGTTGGGTGGGCTAATTTCAGATGGGCTGTGTACAGGTGCAGTGATCGGTAAGGTGCTCTGACAACTGATGCTTAAAGTTAGTGAGGGAGATAAGAGTCTCCAGCTTCTCCTTTTGAGCTCCATTTTTACTTTGTTTTGCAGGATAATGTACAGAGAATTGAAGGATTTGGACAAAGAGAAGGAAAGCAGAAAGATGGTAAATGACCAGTTTCACCCCCCCCCACCCACCCCCAGTCTTTCTCCTGCCCATTTTTAAAATCTTTGCTGTGAATTTTTTGTGGCTGTTTTCAATGTGTAGCAAAATGCTCCTCCAGTTAGACAGACCTAGTCTGGAAAACCCTACCCTAGGCAACAGTGACTCTTTAGGCATAGAGGAACTACGTCACTAGCTTATCTGCTTGAATACAATTAAAAATAGTAGCTAGCAAGATTGAGATCACTGAGGTTATTTTTTATGAGTGCATTTCGCAAGTGGCTAGTTTGCGTCAACTATCCTCAATAAAACCACCGCAAAGATTTTGCCTGCAAACTTTGGTTTCGAATCGCAACATTCTGGAATGTCTGCATCGTGATTTGTTGGGAGAGTTGTCTATCTGAAGAGGACCCACCATGGAACAAGGAAAACATTATTTTTTTTTCTCATCGAAGTTGCCAAAAGAGTCTGTAATTGAAATCAGACCCTAGTCACTGTTGCCTAGGGTCGGGTTTTCGAGACTAAGACAGACCTACTTCACTAACCTTTAAAGCAGCAAGGATACTGTGACTAAAAACCCTATTAGTAATAATGTATCTAGAGTAACTGCACGGGCCTCTTTAGTGGTTAAACCAATCTACTGTAATGCATGTCTATTTGCGTTGAGACTTTACAACCAGGAAAGACCAACATTTGGTTCTTCCTGTTGTAGGGTTGCTGGTCTGTAGAGCATGTGGCGCAATACCTTGGCACTGATGAATTACCAAAGAATGACTTGATAACCTACATGCAGAAGAATGCAGACTCCTCTTTCCTGCGCCACTGGAAATTAACCGGCACTAATAAAAGTATTAGGAAAAACAGAAATTGTTCTCAGCTCATAGCTGCATACAAGGTATAGACCGGCATCAAGATGTTGCTTATCTGTTTATATATCTATTTATTTTCCCTTCACTGTTTTGATATCGTTTTCCTTCTTGCTTGACTGTCACTTGTCTAGCCACTTGTTAAACAGTTTTTGCTGTTCTCTTAACTTTATCCAAATGGCTTGTTGGCTGTTCTGTAAATAATGTATTACCATGATTTACATTGTTGTGAATCTGTTCCCTTTCATTATTCTGTTGTTGGACGAACATAATGATTGTGAGAATGCAGTAACTGAATGTATGTGCAGCAAAATAGCCATGTCCAGTTTTATGCTACTGTCTTCGCTGTTAATCAGAGAGTTTGTAAAGTCAGGTAGCTGAAGGAAACATCAGGTTTAAACCACAGTCCATATGATTGCTTGCAGGACTTCTGTGAGCATGGGTGCAGGTCGGGGTGCCTGAGCCCTGGGTCTCTGGGTGCCATGCAGACGTGTGACATCCTGAATGTGGCCAGTGAGCAGGCCCAGGCCAAGGCTGGCTCCAGCCAGAGCACCTGCGGAGTGGAGGACGTGCTCCAGCTGCTCCGCATCCTATTCATCATCGGGGGAGACCCCCACGCCCACACACGCACCTTCCAGGAAGGTACGGATACACACCTAACACCACCTCAGACCACCCTCCCCCAGCACATATCACCTGAATACAAGATAATATGCTACCTTATTTTATTATCCTCTTGCAGTGAAAATGTTACTTGTTAGTGTTCTTAATAACATGTGTTGTTAAACCACTGTTTTTGACAATATGTAGAGGATCTCCAATTCAATGCATCGCCCGAGGAATTCACCAGCAAGAAAGTCACAACGAAGATTCTCCAGCAGATTGAGGAGCCGCTGGCCCTGGCCAGCGGGGCTCTCCCAGACTGGTGTGAGCAGCTTACCAGCAAGTGTCCTTTCCTCATCCCCTTCGAGACCCGGCAGCTCTACTTCACCTGCACTGCATTTGGAGCCTCCAGGTTAGTGCTGCTTGACATTTTAAAGAAAATGGGTGTCTGAGAATGGCGCCGGAGGAGATGGCTGCCGTTTTACGGCCCCTAACCAATTGTGCTATTACAGTTTAAGTCGGAGGTTTACGTACACCTTAGCCAAATACATTTAAACTCAGTTTTTCACAATTCCTGACATTTAATCCTAGTAAAAATTCCCTGTTTTAGGTCAGTTAGGATCACCACTTTATTTTAAGAATGTGAAATGCCAGAATAATTGTAGAGCGAATTATTTATTTAAGCTTTTATTTCATTCATCACATTCCCAGTGGGTCAGAAGTTGACATACTCAATTAGTATTTGGTAACATTGCCTTTAAATTGTTTAACTTGGGTCAAACGTTTCGGGTAGCCTTCCATGAATTTTGGCCCATTCCAACTGACAGAGCTGGTGTAACTGAGTCAGGTTTGTAGGCCACCTTGCTCTCACACGCTTTTTTAGTTCTGCCCACAAATGTTCTATAGGATTGAGGTCAGGGCTTTGTGATGGCCACTCCAATACCTTGACTTTGTTTTCCTTAAGCCATTTTGCCACAACTTTGGAAGTATGCTTGGGGTCACTGTCCATTTGGAAGACCCATTTGCGACCAAGCTTTAACTTCCTGACTGATGTCTTGAGATGTTGCTTCAATATATCCACATAATTTTTCTTCCTCATGATGCCATCTATTTTGTGAAGTGCACCAGTCCCTCCTGCAGTAAAGCACCCCCACAGCATGATGTTGCCACCCCCGTGCTTCACGGTTGGGATGGTGTTCTTCGGCTTGCAAGCCCTTCCCCTTTTTCCTCCAAACATAACGATGGTCATTATGGCCAAACAGTTCTATTTTTGTTTCATCAGACCAGAGGACATTTCTCCAAAAAGTACGATCTTTGTCCCCACGTGCAGCTACAAAACGTAGTCTGGCATTTTTATGGCGGTTTTGGAGCAGTGGCTTCTTCCTTTCTGAACGGCTTTTCAGGTTATGTCGATATAGGACTCGTTTTACTGTGGATATAGATACTTTTGTACCTGTTTCCTCCAGCATCTTCACAAGGTCCTTTGCTGTTGTTCTGGGATTGATTTGCACTTTTCGCACCAAAGTACGTTCATCTCTAGGAGACAGAACACATCTCCTTCCTGAGCGGTATGACGGCTGCGTGGTCCCATGGTGTTTATACTTGCGTACTATTGTTTGTACAGATGAACGTGGTACCTTCAGGCATTTGGAAATTGCTCAAAAGGATGAACCAGACTTGTGGAGGTCTACAATTTTTTTTCTGAGGTCTTGGCTGATTTCTTTTGATTTTCCCATGATGTCAACCAAAGAGGCACTGAATTTGAAGGTAGGCCTTGAAATACATCCACAGGTACACCTCCAATTGACTCAAATCATGTCAATTAGCCTATCAGAAGCTTCTAAAGCCATGACATCATTTTTTGGAATTTTCCAAGCTGTTTAAAGGCACAGTCAACTTAGTGTATGTAAACTTCTGACCCACTGGAATTGTGATACAGTGAATTATAAGTGAAATAATCTGTCTGTAAACAATTGTTGGAAAAATTACTTGTGTCGTGCCAAAACTGTAGTTTGTTAACAAGAAATTTGTGGAGTGGTTGAAAAATGAGTTTTAATGACTCCAACCTAAGTGTATGTAAATTTCAGACTTCAACTGTATGTGTGTTTTTTTCACATTATTTGTAATTTATTCTGTACATAATGTTTCTGCCACAGTCTCTTATGACCAAAAAGAGCTTCTGGATATCAGGACAGCGATTACTTGCCTCGTATTGGACAAAGATTTTTTCTTCAACGAGTCGGACGCAAGGATATTCTACAGACATCCGACAAGGCCCAAATCCCTGTCATTCGCATGAGAAAGAGACGGAAATATCGTGGACGTAGGTCGGGGTGCCTTGTAAGGATCTGAGGGCGATCGAGTAATCTGCCTCTTCCATCAGTCCTATTAGCCAATGTGCAATCATTGGAAAATGAAATGGATGACCTAAGATCAAGGATATCCTACCAATGGGACATTAACTGTAATATCTTATGTTTCACCGAGTCGTGGCTGAACGATGACATGGATAATATACAGCTGGCGGGATATACGCTGCATCAGCAGGATAGAACGACTGTAAACAACAGCTGGTGCACGAAATCTAATATTAAGGAAGTCTCAAGGTTTTGCTCGCCTGAGGTTGAGTATCTCATGATAAGCTGTAGACCAAACTATTTTTCGTAGCTGTCTATTTACCAACACATGCTGGCACTAAGATTGCATTCAATGAGCTGTATAAGGCCATAAGCAAACAAGAAAACGCTCATCCAGAGGCAGCGCTCCTAGTGGATGAGAACTTTAATGCAGGGAAACTTACATCCGTTCTACCTCATTTCTACTAGCATGTTAAATGTGCAACCAGAGGAAAAAAAACTCTAGACCACATTTACTCCACACACAGAGACGTGTACAAAGCTCTCCCTCGCCCTCCATTTGGCAAATCTGACCATAATTATATCCTCCTGATTCCTGCTTATAAGCAAAAACTAAAGCATGAAGCACCAGTGACTCGGTTAATAAGGAAGTGGTCAGATGACGTAGATGCTAAGCTACAGGACTGTTTTGCTAGCACAGACTGGAATATGTTCCGGGATTCTTCCGATGGCATTGAGGAGTACACCACATCAGTCACTGGCTTCATCAATAAGCGCATCGATGACGTCGTCCCCACAGTGACCGTACTTACATACCCCAACCAGAAGCCATGGATTACAGGCAACATCCGCACTGAGCTAAAGGGTACAGCTGCCGCTTTCAAGGAGCGAGACTCTAACCTGGATGCTTATAAGAAATCCAGCTATGCCCTTTGACGAACCATCAAACAGGCAAAGAGTCAATACAGGACTAAGATTGAATCGTACATCACTGGCTCCGACGCTCGTCGGATGTGGCAGGGCTTGCAAACTTACAGATTACAAAGGGAAGCACAGCCGCGAGCTGCAGTGACACAAGCCTACCAGATGAGCTAAATCCCTTCTATGCTCGCTTCGAGGCAAGCAACACTGAAGCATGCATGAGAGCATCAGCTGTTCCGGATGACTATGTGAGCACGCTCTCCGTAGCCGACGTGAGGAAGACTTTTAAGCAGGTCAACATTCACAAGGCCGCAGGGCCAGACTGATTACCAGGACGTGTACTCTGCGCATGCGCTGACCAACTGGCAAGTGTCTTCACTGACATTTTCAACATGTCCCTGACTGAGTCTGTAATACCAACATGTTTCAAGCAGACCATCATAAGTCCCTGTGCCCAAGAACACCAAGATAACCTTCCTAAATGACCTCCGACCCATAGCACTCACATCTGTAGCCATGAAGTGCTTTGAAAGGCTGGTCATGGCTCACATCAACACCATTATCCCAGAAACCCTAGACGCACTCCAATTTGCATACCGCCCCAACAGATCCACAGATGATGCGATCTCTATTGCAATCCACACTTCCCTTTCCCACCTGGACAAGAGGAACACCTACGTGAGAATGCTATTCGCATTGACTACAGCTCAGCGTTCAACACCATAGTTCCCTCAAAGCTCATCACTAAGCTAAGGACTCTGGGACTAAACACCTCCCTCTGCAACTGGATCCTGGACTTCCTGACGGGCCACCCCCAGGTGGTAAGGGTAGGTAACAACACATCTGCCACGCTGATCCTCAACACGGGGGCCCCTCAGCGGTGCGTGCTCAGTACCCTCCTGTACTCCCTGTTCACCCATGACTGCATGGCCAGGCACGACTCCAACACAATCATTAAGTTTGCCGACGACACAACAGTGGTAGGCCTGATCACCGAAAACGATGAGACAGCCTATAGGGAGGAGGTTTGAGACCTGGCCGTGTGGTGCCAGGATAACAACCTCTCCCTCAACGTGATCAAGACAAAGGAGATGATTGTTGACTACAGGAAAAAAAGAGGACTGAGCACGCCCCCATTCTCATCGACAAGGCTGTAGTGGAACAGGTTGAGAGCTTCAAGTTCCCTGGTGTCCATCACCAACAAACTATCATGGTCCAAACACACGAAGACAGTCGTGAAGAGGGAACGACAAAGCCTATTCCCCCTCAGGAGACTGAAAAGCTTTGGCATGGGTCCTCAGATCCTCAAAGTTCTACAGCTGCACCATCAAGAGCATCCTGACATCACCGCCTGGTATGGTAACTGCTCGGTCTCCGACCGCAAGGCACTACAGAGGGTAGTGTGTATGGCCCAGTACATCACTGGGGCAAAGCTTCCTGCCATCCAGGACCTCTATACCAGGCGGTGTCAGCGGAAGGCCCTAAAAATGGACAAAGACTCCAGCCACCCTAGTCAGACTGTTCTTTCTGCTACCGCAGCGGTACCGGAGCGCCAAGTCTAAGTCCAAAAGGCTTGAACAGCTTCTACCACCAAGCTATAAGACTCCTGAACAGCTAATCATGGCTACCCGGACTATTTGCATTGTCCCCCCCACCCCAAGCCCTCTTTTACACTGCTGCTACACTATTATCTATGCATAGTCACTTTAACTCTACCCACATGTACATATTACCTCAATTACCTCGACTAGCCGGTGCCCCCGCACATTGACTCTGTACCGGTACCCCCTGTATATAGCCTCCATACCGTTACTTTATTTTACTGCTGCTCTTTTAATTATGTTATTTTGATTTTTTACTTATTATTTTTTTTAACACTTATTTTTCTTAACTGCATTGTTGGTTAAGGGCTTGTAAGTAAGCATTTCACTGTAAGGTCTACTACACCTGTTGTATTCGGCGCATGTGGCAAATACAATTTTATTTTTATTTGTCTTGCTCTGTACTTTCCTGAAACTGGTGCAACTTCTTCTCACATCCACACACATTTTATGTCTTTGCTTATATATCATTGAGTAGCAAACTATTACAGCTCTCGCATATTACAGGGCCAATTATTGCTGTTCATTTCATTGACTTTGTACTGTACTGTCTGTGTACCTCAGGGCGGTAGTGTGGCTGCAGAACCGGCGGGAGGCAACCATGGAGCGCTCGCGGCCCTCCACCACGGTGCGGAGAGACGACCCTGGGGAGTTCAGGGTGGGCCGGCTCAAACACGAGAGAGTCAAGGTCCCCCGCGGAGACCAGATGATGGAGTGGGCCGAGAGCGTCATGCAGATCCACGCCGACAGGAAATCTGTTTTGGAGGTAAAACACCACACCTGATAAAACCAGATTAATTGTACTCCTGGACTAAAAAGCATGCTCAATGGAGAGTGTGTGAAGGGATTATTGATTGTCATTGGTACCATGAATAAGTGCTCCATGTAATGCTAAATGGTGTGATAAGTACTCATTCATCCAATTCATACATCTTGTAATCTTACAGTACATGTGTTTTTTTCCAGCTTGATAATGTCTTCACATAATTAATTATTTGATTGGCATGGCCACAAGAGGTCATAGTGACTGGTTATGAGATGTCTATGAGAGGTCATAGTGACTGGTTATGAGATGTCTATGAGAGGTCATAGTGACTGGTTATGAGATGTCTATGAGAGGTCATAGTGACTGGTTATGAGATGTCTATGAGAGGTCATAGTGACTGGTTATGAGATGTCTATGAGAGGTCATAGTGACTGGTTATGAGATGGCTATGAGAGGTCGTAGTGACTGACCAGTGTGTCTCTCTCCCCAGGTTGAGTTCCAGGGGGAGGAGGGTACAGGCCTGGGTCCCACACTGGAGTTCTACGCTCTGGTGGCAGCTGAGTTCCAGAGGACCTCCCTGGGTATCTGGCTCTGTGATGATGACTTCCCAGACGATGAGTCTCGCCAGGCAAGTGCTGCTTCACTGTCACATCATTAAAACGTAGATCTAAACAGTAATATTTGGACTCATACAATTCACATTTGCACAATTGACAATATCCATGAAGTGGCATGTTCAAATTTTCTTAAAGAACAAGATTATTTAAATTTTGTGATTTTATAAACCATGTCAGTGTCACTTTTAATTATTTTTTGGGGGGTTAAGGCCATGTCAATGAAAATGCCCTGCTTTTTATTGACTGTGTGTTGTGTACTATCAGGTGGATCTGGGTGGGGGTCTGAAACCTCCAGGCTACTATGTCCAGCGCTCCTGCGGCCTGTTCCCCGCACCATTCCCCCAGGACAGTGATGAGCTGGAGCGCCTCAGCAAACTCTTCCTCTTCTTGGGGGTCTTCCTGGCCAAGTGCATTCAGGACAACCGCCTGGTGGACCTTCCCATCTCACGACCCTTCTTCAAGTTGCTCTGTATGGGTGACATCAAGAGCAACATGTCCAAGCTGCTGTACGCATCCCGCGGGGGCCCTCTCCTCCTCGATCCCACTGAGCAGCACCGCCACTTCTCAGAGATCCAGTCAGAGGCGTCCACCGAGGAGAGCCAGGACACATATTCCGTCGGCAGCTTTGACGAGGACTCCAAGTCCGAGTTCATCCTGGACCCCCCTAAACCCAAGCCCCCGGCCTGGTACCACGGCATCCTGACCTGGGAGGACTTTGAGCGGGTCAACCCCCACCGGGCCAAGTTCCTGAAGGAGATGAAGGAGCTGGCGGTGAAGAGGAGGCTGATCCTGGGGAACAACAGTCAGTCTGAGGATGAGAAGAACACTAGGCTGCAGGACCTCATGCTGAAGAACCCCATGGGCTCCGGACCCCCGCTTAGTGTAGAGGACCTAGGGTGAGCACAGCTACTACCACCACTCTTACTGAGAGCTTCTTAAATTAGTCAGGCATTCAGTGGATACTATCCTGAACTGGAATGACATTTGTGCTAATTACATTGTTTTGTAGGCTATGTATAACCACTTTTGAATTTCTTCACTTTCCTTTTGTCAGTTTCCCATGATGCTGATATAGTATTTGATCTTGACAGCTGTAAAGTTATGTAGTCATTCAACATGGCTAATTTTGAGTCCCTTTTCCCTCAGATTGAATTTCCAGTTCTGCCCCTCATCCAAAGTGCATGGGTTCTCAGCAGTGGACCTGAAGCCCAATGCAGATGACGAGGTAGGTAGAGCACCACTATTGGCTCTGACCTGTTTTATTAATTAGATGAGTGGTGTCTGAATATGTCCTGTTTCCCTCGCTGTTCATCCATCCAGATGGTGACCATGGATAATGCTGAGGAGTACGTGGAGCTCATGTTTGACTTCTGCATGCACACTGGCATCCAGAAACAAATGGAGGCGTTCAGAGGTATGCCTGTTAAAATGACTGGCAGATTGGATATCTTCAGCGTTAGTCATCACAAACAAGTTTATTTTTCTACTCTACATTTTGGATGTAATGAAATGAATGGTTCCTTTCTCAGAGGGCTTTAACCGAGTGTTCCCCATGGAGAAGCTGAGCTCCTTCAGTCACAAGGAGGTGCAGATGATTCTGTGTGGAAACCAGTCTCCATCCTGGACATCTGAAGACGTCATGAACTACACAGAGCCCAAGCTGGGCTACACTAGGGACAGGTATGATGACCCTCCATCTACTGCAGCTTGTAGAATAGATAACTTCCTCTGGCCAGCTTGGAAATAGGTTCTTTGTCGTTAGATCTCCTTGTATTTACTGTGTTAGTCATGATTTAAAAGGGGCTCAAATGACAAGAACTGAAATGGGAAGGTCGCTGACATGACCAGAACATAACTTATCTTTGTTTCTGGAGGAACATAAGGCCTGTACTCAAGTACCAGTACATCAACTGGCACTATCTAACAGCTGGTTGTTTTCATATCTCACTGAAGAGTCCTTTTTAACGGTTTTATCGGTTCTCTTGTCCTCCCCACAGTCCTGGGTTCCTGCGTTTTGTGCGGGTTCTGTGTGGCATGTCGTCTGACGAGAGGAAAGCCTTCCTCCAGTTCACCACTGGATGCTCCACTCTGCCCCCTGGTGGTCTGGCAAACCTGCACCCACGCCTCACCATCGTTCGAAAGGTAAGGAAGGACTCTCCATGATGCAAATCACTGCTGAGTTTAGGAAGCTATGTCAACCTCGCAGTACAGTAAGCCATCCTAATGAGATTGATATTGACATGTTTCAGAAATTCTACCAGTAGGAATTTGGGGAATGTTTGAAATTAAATGTATTCTGTTTAGCTTTAAAACATAGTATTATATTATCATCCAAGAATGACACTACCTCCATCACTAATATCTGCCACTCCATACCTCTGGGATTATAGAGCAGGGTTCAAACTACACTGAACAAAAATATAAACGCAACATGTGAAGTGTTGGTCCCATGTTTCATGAGCTGAAATAAAAATGTGCACACATTTCTTTACATCCCTGTTAGCGAGCATTTCTACTTTGCCAAGATAATCCATCCTCCTGACAGGTGTGGCATATCAAGAAGCTGATTAAACAGCATGATCATTACACAGGTGTACCTTGTGCTGGGGACAATAAAAGGCCACTCTAAAATGTGCAGTTTTGTCACACAACACAATGCCACAGATGTCTCAAGTTTTGATGGAGTGTCAATTGGCATGCTGACTGCAGGAATGTCCACCAGAGCTGTTGCCAGATAGTTTTATGTTCATTTCTCCATCCTAAGCCGCGTCCAATGTCATTTTAGAGAATTTGGCAGTACGTCCAACCTAACTCACAACCACAGACCATGTGTATGGCGGCATGTAAGTGAGTGGTTTGCTGATGTCAACGTTGTGAACAGTGTCCCATGGTGGGGTTATGGTATGGGCAGGCATAAGCTACGGACAACGAACACAATTGCATTTTATCGATGGCAATTTGAATGCATAGAGATACCGTGACGAGATCCTGAGGCCCATTGTCGTGCCATTCATCCGCTGCCATCACCTCATGTTTCAGCATGATAATGTACGGCCCCATGTCACAAGGATCTGTACACGATTCCTGGAAACTGAAAATGTCCCAGTTCTTCCATGGCATGCATACTCACCAGACATGTGACCCATTGAGCATGTTTGGGATGCTCTGGATCGATGTGTACGACAGCGTGTTCCAGTTCCCGCCAATATCCAGCAACTTCACACAGTCATTGAAGCGGAGTGGGACAACATTCCACAGGCCACAATCATCAGCCTGATCAACTCTATGCAAAGGAGATGTGTCGCACTGTATGAGGCAAATGGTGGTCACACCAGATACTGTTTTTTTTTTTTTTTAAGGTATCTGTGACCAACCGATGCATGTCTGTATTCCCAGTCGTGAAATCCATAGTTTAGGGCCTAATGAACTTATTTCAATTGACTGATTTCCTCATATGAACTGGAACTGAAATCTTTGAAATTGTTGCATGTTGCGTTTATATTTTTGTTCAGTATATAGTTACCGCAAGGTGACTGCAATGCAATTAAACTAATTGTTCCTTTCGTAGGTGGACGCGACAGACTCCAGCTATCCCTCTGTTAACACTTGTGTACACTATCTGAAGCTGCCAGAGTATTCCTCTGAAGACATCATGAGAGAGCGCCTCCTAGCAGCCACCATGGAGAAGGGCTTCCACCTCAACTGAGCATGCCCTGTCTTCCCCATTATGACTGACCAACCCCCCCTGCTGGTGAAGCCTATTGTGTTTTGTTGCAGAAAAATAAACAAGCTGTGCTCTCTGAGATCTCTCTCCCCCCTCCTCCAACCCCACCAACCAACCACCCTCCCTTAAATCTCCCCTGTTCCGTCCTTTCCCCCTGAGAACTTTAGGAAAACAGTCCCATGTTGGCTCAACTAGCTACTGATACAGAAAAGGTCAGGGGCACCCCCACCTTCCTCCGCTCCACTCACTACAGCTCCCTCCCTCCCCAGGGCACACTGCTGCTTGAAGGGCTTAAGCGACTGGAAGCCAGGGCAGACAGTTACCTCATGGTCTACAGTGTTTACTCTCTCTCTCTCATACTCTGGCTGTGAGCATCTGTACGTTCTCTGTAGATTTTAGGGTTTTCCGATTGACACGATCTTCTCTCCACCACCCGGCTGTCAACCCCCTTCCTTTCCCTGCGTGAGGGGAGAACGGCATCTGCTTCTGTAGAGCTAACTGTAGTGTGTTTGGGCATTTCCTTACCAGGTTAAATTTTACTAGTGCCTGCATTGTTTGAATATTAGGATTTCATTTTTCCTTCCTTTTACTTAATCTTACGGCATACAATCATGATGCACATGCTTATTATTTTGTATTTTCATTTTTCTTTCGTCATGTATGTTTTGATTGTTCATTATCCTGCTATAAGGATCAAAGTCCCTGAGTGCATTTCTTGTGTAATTTTACAATAAAGCTATAGAGACAAAAACACTGGTTCTGTGTGCAAGGCACATTTAAAAAGAAAAAAGCAAGCTATGCTTTCCCTTGTATTTTCTTTGTATATTATAAACATTTATTTAACTCAAGTTGCAGTTTGAAGTAAACAGATATTTTCAAATGTGTATGCTCCAAAAAATTAAAATGTTTGCAAAGTATGAAACGTGTTGTTTATTTACTTAATAAAAGACCTGAATAACATATTCCATGCACATTCAAGAACCAAACACAAGACAGGGTTTATGTGTAATACCTTACAGTTCACAATCTATTACTATAGCTGTCTAAAACCTCCCTATTCTATCTTAATAACAATGGATTGTTGACTAAACTCAAGTATGAAGTCCATGAATCATTTGGATGGCAATGTGTCTCCTTTTTCAAAGGCCAATAGTCTTGTCTTGTTCAAACAATTGCTCAATGTGGTTCAGACATCTGGTCCAGAGCTAGTAGAGGTGCCAGGATGTGGTTCTTGTTGGTCTCCACTATGTGCCCATTCTGGATCATCTCATCAAGGATGATGTGCACTTTATCAAGGTTGAACATGATCTGAACTGGAGTTAAAGAAATTAAATGACATTGTAACATTGAATACACATGGAATTCCCTATCACAGTGTAAAGTAGGGCATTTGTTAACCCCCCCCCCCCCCCCCCTCAATGAGCCCTCTCCATTAGTAAGAAATTGTTAACCCTGGCTACTCCATTAACAGAGGGGTCAACGTTCACTGTGACAGATTTCAGTCATTGATCATTTAAAAATATATTTTTCAACATTGAAATGGTCAAACTTGCAGTTTAATACATGTACAAAATTATCCTCTTTCCCTAAAATGATTAATTGATTTAAGTTTCAGTCATGGGATTTTTGGGAGGCTTTAACCCCTGCATTAACATGTCTCTCGCCAGTTGAACAACTTAAAAAACTTAGTGTAATCAAATCACATTTTATTGGTCACATGCACGTGTTTAGCAGATGTTATTGCGGGTGTAGCGAAACCGTTAACACCACCGACTGTAGTTGCATTCCACTTCTTATGACTGGTCTGACCCCGGCAAGTCTGACTGAGACCAGAGTCCGACAATGACAGTTGTGTTCATCAGTCTGTGCAGTGCCGTACTAAATGCCAAGCCTCGAATGGCACAGTTGGCTAGCCACATGACAAGCCCCTAATGTGAGGGGTGGACACGCAGACAGCCCCTGCATCTGTTTCAATGACTGACTCATTTCCTCAAACTGATTAATAACAAAACAACTTATCATTTGTAAAGGATACATCCAATTCACTCTGTTAGGAGAGAAAAACACAAAGCAGTTACATGGTTATTTTTATTGTATTTATTTAAAACCTTTATTTTGACAGGGAGTCATGCTGAGACCAAGGTCTCTTTTGCAGATGAGCCCTGTAATTACAAGAATATACACATCAATACAATACAAAAGGCAAAATAGAGATACATTAGGCAAACCAAGGATACATCTGCCAATGGAAAACAACTATTAAATGTGAAGTATTGGCTTCTCTTATGGGGAATGCTCAGTTTAGAGTAATGTGTTTTTGTCCCAGAAAAAGCTGACCTCTAAAATGCTGAGCTATGCACAGGTGGTTGGATAGTTGACATGCAGTAAATCTAGCATACAGCCAGAATGTGCTAAAGTAGTGAATAAAAAGAGAGACTCTGAACTCACATGACTGAAGTACTTGTCAAGAACCTCTACAAAGTTGTGTACCATCTCATAGATCGACAGCTCATTCTGTGGAAAGAAAGACATCCCACAACATGAATCATGAATACTCTCAATAATATAATCTCAACCTTAATCTGATAACTCATACTTTTACACTTATAACAGTAAAATTATGAACTCTCACCTCAGTGTCACTGATACCAACAACTATGAAGAGAGCAGCATACTGTCGATACACTAGTTTGAAGTCCTTGTATTCCACAAAAGAGCACTAGATAGAAAATAATAGTTACTTGGGTGTTTGAATAGCAGAATGAGCTCTGTGTCACCTGTATAAAATGCATGTGGATTGGCAGTGGCACACTAACTCAGCATGAAGAATAGCATAAATTAAATGATACATTAAAGGGATGGATGTAGGTTATTGAACTGGATTTTGTTCTGTCCTGTAGGATCTCGTCTATGCCCCTGTCACCAGTTATGTACGTCTTCTCACTATTGTGTTCTACCCCTGAAAGTAAACAAAAAAAACTAGTTTTTCCAAGCCATTGCATTGCTTGCTTGCTTTTAGGGGTTTAAGGCTGGGTATCTGTAACGCACTTTGTGACAACTGCTGATGTAAAAAGGTCTTTACAAAATACCTTTATTTGATTGATTAAGATTTCTAATAGAGTAAAAATAACATAATTGAGATAGAGACCTCTTCTTTTTTGCGTGACAGGCATCCCTTGACAACATCAGCCTCCAGAAAAGGCCTCTTCCCAATGTCCACCCGCTCATAGTACTTAGACAGGCGGGTCTGGCCCTGCTTGTTCACCATCAGGAGGAACTTGATCATGGTGACCTCCTAGTCCAGTGTATCTGCAAAAAATGAAATAGTTATATAAATGGTGCCATAGCAAATCATGCATAAAGTCTTTATGTAATACCCTTTTGTGTTAATGCATTTGTAACTGGACAGTTATATCCCATTCAGCAAAGTCAGAAGGACTATGGCCAAGCGTTGAATGCGTTCAGTCAAGCTTGAAAACTATTAGGCTACTCACCCTAAACCAACAAAATTTCAGATGCAAGTCAGATCCTGATGCGTCTGACAAGATACACATAAACACTGTAGTCAGTAACACTCAACAACAATGAGCAGAGGTCCATGGTGCTGGATAGAAGGCTCCCTGAGAGTCCCAGGCCTGCCATGCAAACACCTGATTGTTCGTTTTGTATCAATATATATTTTTCGAATAATGTTTATATTCTATTATTTCCTTGGTTCACAATTTGTCTGTGCTGTAACTGTACTCACGGCACACATCCCCAGGCTCCTGTATTTGGATCATTGAGCTGATTTGGATGACAGGAAAAAATAAAAAGGTGAGCTTGTCCCATCATGCAGCGCGGGCCAATTCTTCATCACCCCCGCAGTAAGTAGACTCTCATATCCAAGGATCGGACTAATAGCGGCCGTCAAATCCTTACACTGAGAGCAAATCCAAAACATAGCCCTGTCTCACTACAGCCGCCGAGGAATTTCAGGGAAAGGTATCGTCAAATCCATACGGGAATACTGAACTGAAAAGGGGGAGGGGGGCGAATTCAAGCAGCAAATTGTGCTGGGACTTTCCTCTTCTTAAAAATGGATGAACACCCCGGCGGAGGAGGAGTTGGAATGGCCGCCCCAAGACCTCAGCAACAACCGCAGGGGAATAACAACGCTAATCCCCAAGTCGGTGGTGGAGGTGGCTCAGGGATGGGGCAGCAGCATGACGAGATGCCACGGCCACAGCAGTATACCATCCCCGGTATTCTACATTATATCCAGCACGAGTGGGCCAGATTCGAAATGGAGAGAGCTCATTGGGAAGTGGAAAGGGCCGAACTTCAGGTAGCTATCTATTAGCAAGCTAACTTGTTTAACGTTACCTTAGCTAGTTAGCTAGCTAAATAAACAGAGTACAGAATCTTGAGCAACAATGCATTTTGCCTGGATAGTGTGCAACATTTGTTTCACCCCCTTTGCATACAGTGGGCATGCTTCGATAGATAAAAAATGTCTACTGTAGTTTGTCCGCCCAACTTGATTATGTTAGCTATCAAATACCACCAGCTAGCTAGCTAGCCACGGATAACAGGTAGCTAGCTAACGTTAGCTTAGCACACAGAATGGCAAGCTATGTCACTCTTTTTTAAAAAGTGGAACATCATCAGGTTGATGTGTTTGCAATGTCTTACCCGTGATCTTATTAATCATGTTGACTCTTGCTGTTGTGGTATTCATTTAGTAGTTTCATGTTAGAGTCGTTGAACTACAGAATGATCTAATCAAACCGCTGACAGTCAACTAATCTCCGAGACTAGGAGCCATTTTGGTTTGGTCATTATGGCGACGACTTGGCTGGGTCTTCTTGAGTCACGTTAGGTTACGGTCAATCTTGAATAGGAATACATCTCATCTTATTGATCATATCAGCAATGTTTTTAACTGAAAGTGTTTTTTGTTTTTTTTATCAGAAAATCCCATATAGTCTGATGCCAGTCAGATGGCTCGTGCCTGTTGTTAGCAAGCTAACATCAACAAAGCTAGCTAGCTGTCAAGGGCCCCACACAGTCTGACAGTGGCACACACTAGCTAGCTATGCACTTCAAGATCGAACGGTAAAACATCTGTGGCTTTAGACTTAGCAAACTAGCTATCTAGCTACATTACTTTTATAATTGTTTTTTGTGTCATCTTGGCAAGTTGAATTATTTCTATTACATTTTGCCAGGTTTTGTTATAACACGTTTATTATGACATCAGCAAAGTGATAATTCTGTCTTGCAGAGAGGAAAGGGAATGTTGGTTCAGTTTCAGTTTTGTGATTGTAATAATAAGGAATGTGGAAGTGTTGAAATGCCTGGGACAGAGTAGAGTACTGCTTTGTTTGAACACAACCCACAACAAGCCAGGTGAGGTGGAGGCAGATGGGAGGTTATTGACTCCCCTTTTACTGACTTGCTCAGTGACACATGCCTTCAGCATGACTCACTCTGACCACACCAGTCAAGAGATTGAAATGGATAGAAGGCAACACAGTCATCCACATCCCTGTAGTGCTCTGTCAATCTCCCCTCAGGACTAGTGAAGTGACAAAACTACATGCCATGACCCTGTAATTGAATGCCTCACTAGATGGCCAGAAAACGAGCCAGATTTAGGGCACTGTTCAGGGTTTATGTCTAGGTCTGTCTATATATATATATTTTTTTTTAACATTTCACATAGCCCCTATTTGAAGAGCAATATGATAGATACTTATCTTGTCAACATAAACAAAGTATTAGCCTATGACCTGCCTAATTTGCCAGAACAATATATTGTTAAACTTTTTATTGATAAAACAATATGAATCAGTGTATGCATTCTGAACTTCTGTGTTGGTCACATTATTTCCATTTTACGTTAATGAAGCAAGCTGACATCCTAGATTATTTTGGTCAGCTGCACCTTCACTATTGTTTGAGTTGCTTTGCGGTCCAGCCACACCACTCAAGCAGTCAGCCTCGTTAGCACAAATCACTTCAATGTCCACAGCAGTCACATCAGGCCTGAAAGTATCTGGGTTAAATCAGGCTTTATAGGTCACTGAGACTGCCAGGGCATATTAAGAACCATTCTTATGTGCTCTGTTCTTCCTTTGCCCTGGCTGTAGAAGACAGACAGACAGAGAAATGGCAGCCAGACAGACAGAGAAATGGCAGTCTGACAGGGCACTTTCCTTTCTATTCAGAATATGGCTTGGAAATAAAATGTTTATTAACACACAGAGTGTTCTATCTGGGTTTTATTTTTGATATGTTGATGCTGAGTATTTAAACACCACAATGTAGGTTTGACAGGATTATGTTATCCAACTGATACCATGTTGTTCTTTCTTGATGAAATTGAAATCACCATCTCAATGTAGGCCTATGTTCATACCTTAGTATTTCTGTGTGTAGTCAGTGTACTATCTCTTATTCACGTCATTCTTTCATTGTGCTTGATTTGGTGGGTGATGTATTTTTCCACTGGGCATCAGGTGTTTCCTCAGGACCCGTATGAGCCAGCTGGTGCACCACTATGTCAGTGCTCTATCCTTAAAGCATCAGTGCTAATTAGTATTACACTGCCATTTTCTTCCACAGTTCTTTCTTGGTTATACATAACATCTATAAGTAGACAAGCTGAAAATAGCTGTTCTACTTAATGGACTACCTTGGCTCCTAAAAACGGTGCGAACTGTGTGAATACATTTTGACAGTTTCAGACTTGTCTGATAATAGGGTATTATTTTTAGGCCAGGGTTGTGAAACCAAGATTGTTGAAAATATGACTTATTTGTTGTTTATTGAAGCAAGGTGGCTTTTATACACAAAAACACAAACAAGTAGACAGACAGGCGAATCCAAAATACAGGCCTAAATGTATCTAAGTGTGTGACTAGGCCTAAGCAGTGTTCCTTTGCAGTGAAGTGGTAGGTATATGATACGTTGGTGACGACAACTCCAAAAGGCAGCCATTATTTCTGCCCCCATTACAGGACAGCTGTACAATGAGGAATGTGTCAGGAGTTGGCCATGTCTATTCCTGCTCCAATACAGCCCATTCCTTTGTCAGCATGTTAATTTGGGTCTGTGAGCTCACTCTGTATCCCCAGTCTGACCGTTACACATCTAAACGCTGTGACCTCACACACATAGCAGCTAGGCCTATACTGGCTTTGCTAACTGCACTGGGATTGGTTCGAGGCGGTCTCAAGGGTGGTCCTTCGGGCAGGGGGGATTCCCAAAGTGGTTTTAGCAGTAGTGATTTAACATTTAAATTAAAATTATGATCATAGTTGGGATTTGATCACTGATTAGTGTACTGTATTTGTATTGCACGTCACTATGCCTGCCATGCTCCTATCAGGGATATTGAAAAGTGAGGTTAACAAATAGACTAATTAGTATGACCTCTTTTAGATTTTAGCTGTATATTAAATCTACACATACAGTGATATTTATTTGAAGAATGTTGTAGCCAGCTGTATCTGCAGAGCTAGTAGCATGCTTGTGTAACAGACTACTCTGGCTGTTGAGCTGGTTCCAGTGTATACACAGCTGTTCGTTCAGCTGAAACCTTCCTTCTCCCTCTAGCTAATGTTGACTGGCCAGACCTCCCATGCTTATGGTCCCAGCAAGACGTTCATTTAGCCTTTTGACTTGCATACCAAGGAAGCAGGCAAATGAGAGAATATCGTACACAAAATATGACTGTTCCTATATCATTCTGTTTAATAGAACTGATCTCAGTTGACTGAAGGGAATCCTGTTGTTAAAATTGACCCCAGTTCTCCATGTTTTTCTGTAGAGAGTTAAATCTCCTACTCCTTCTCTCCTTGAATGTGCTCAATTCTGTCTTATCTTATTACTTTGAGGGAGTGACTGGACCAGGTGAGTCAATGGTTCAGATCCACCATAGTGTTTTCCTAGCAGGTATGATCTAATACCAGAGAGCAAAGAAACTGTTATGTAAACTAGCCGGTGGCCCAATATGTGGAGTCACTATGTCAGAGCCAGGGTACCACACTTTCTCAGTCTCCATGACTACGGAATGGAAATCGGTCTCCAGTTTACCTGCCAATTTACAACTGGGTCGCAATGGGCACCATGACACCCCTACAGTCGAGAGAGGTTTTTAGGGGCAGCTGACTAATATTTTATATAGGTGCAGGAGCTTAAGCAGTAGAACATTTGGAGTGCTGGTACTCTGCTCCGGTGAGCTCCTGCCCAAGTCGAGCACTGCCCCTACAGTCAAGGGGCGGCTGACTAAAAATACCCCCTGCCTGCTACCCTTTTAAACGGCATTGGGTTTCACAGCTGCTCAGTACTCCCTAGCAGTACAGAGTTGAGCAGGAGAAAAGGGCCAGCTAAATAGTTCTGTATGAACTGAACACCCCTACAGGGGTGATGGTGCTAGAGAGGCCTGTGTTACAACCTGGGCCTGCTGCTCTGCTGATCTGAGGATAGTCAGGCACACTGCTAATTGCAGTCCTACCCAGACTTGCCAGGTCTATACCAAGGTTTCCCCAATTCATCTGCCTTATATGTTTTTGTTAGTTTAGGTCTATTTTTACTCTTTGAGAGAGAAATGTAATGTGTAGGGTCAATGTTGTACAGCAGTGGTCACCAACCGGTCGATCACATTCTTAGTCGATCACCAAACATTTCCTTTTTCTCTTTTCTTTGTGTTGCGCTGTTGGCGGTAGGTCCACTTGATTCAGAAGCCCTGCACACCGGGTAGGCAAAGTGTTCCCATTTTGAACCATTTCATTTGTCTGAAAAGACAAACTACGCCAACCCGGAGGACCAGGAGATCTGTGGCTAAATCGAGTGCGCCTACTGCGCTGGCCAATCGAATCACCATGCCTACCTACAGCTTCCACTACCCCGGCCACAGCAAAGTTTGATACTAGCCTACGTGAGATTTCATAACTTTTAAAACCATGACCAGAGCGAGACTGTGAAAGAATACAGCAAAGAGCTGCTGTTTTTATGAGTGAGTTTGTCTTTAAGTTTTATTCAGCTCTGTCAACACTGTTTTTATTCAACACTATTACAAAACATAAAACGCACTTCTCTCTACTTCCACTCGCGTTGCAGCTGAAATGAATGAGCAGCCAAGTGTATCGATAGCCCTGCGTTTTTATTATTATTAGCTATTTTAATATCGGAGTATTTCACTTTCTCTGGTCATAGGAACAACATGATTTGTGCCTGAGGCAGTTGCGGTGCGACTCGGGTTTCGCCATCAGATGGAAGACTGTGTCCCCTCTCTCTGGTCAGTCTCACCAAAGGAAAGGAAGGAGAGAGCAGGGACCGTAAGAGGCGGACCCTCTGCTGCTCTATCCCTCCGCTGCAACTAATGCCATGTTCAAAACAACTGGGAACTCGGAACTCAGAAATCTCAGACTTCAGTGCATTCAAGACATCTGGGAACTCTGAAAAAAACGAGATCCGACTGGGATTTTTTGGGGGGAACAGTCAACCAACTCGGAAACTCTGGCATCTTTCGAGAGTTCCGACCTGAAGTTCACTGAAGTCATCATTTGACCTTGTTTTTTTCCGAGTTCCCAGTTGTCTTGAGAGAACCATGACCATCTGATGCAGGTACCATCAGTCCAGTAAAATTCAAAAGCAAATTATTTCAATTTATGCTCAACTGTGCCTCAAGTGCTACACCAACTGATCTATTTTGTTATCAAAGCTCGAGTTTTGAAATATAATGTGGTCTAAGCAGAGCAATATTGGCAGGCCAGGCATATAGCCAATATGCTGTGATAATGTATTAGGCCTACTGCACAAACCTCATTCCTACATAACTGTTTTTATTAGGTTAATGTTACATTTTAATTCATGTTTTAAAAAAATATCTCTGCCTTCTTTTTGACTGCAAAAGTGATCTTGACTCAGAAAAGGTTGGTGACAACTGTTGTACAGGGTCAATAGCTGGACTAGTAAGCCCCTACATGGGGTTTGTTTGTGTGCATAATTAAAGTTTAATGTGATACAAAGATTTGATGGAGTAATTATTTGAATGGAATATGAGGATAAGAAGAAGAGTGTGGTAGTACTAGGTGATGTTGTAATCGTTGCTGCCTCTGACACAGTTATTCTGCTGTTTTAATAATTCAGTAGACATGACATGCCTATTTCCTCTGTGGGAAAGAGTAGTGTTTGATACACCACAAAATATGACCTTTCATGTGTAGTGCTTTCTAAGTTGAGAATAAAATGTTGACTTTATCGGCAGACCCTAAACCTATTTATTTTTTCTCTTTTCTTGTTTCTTTCAGGCTCGAATAGCATTCCTACAAGGAGAAAGGAAGGGTCAAGAAAATTTAAAGAATGATCTAGTTAGAAGAATAAAAATGTTAGAATATGCATTAAAGCAAGAAAGGTGAGTGTATACCTATTACCTATAATTTTTTACATGAGTCAATAACGTCGATACAAGGCCAATTTCAATCTTGGTCTCATTGACCTCAATGCCTGACATTTTATACATTACCTGTGCATAACTGCAAAGTATGCTTATTATCACATTTACTAATCTCTTTACTTTATCTTTTCTCTACTAGAGCAAAATACCATAAATTAAAATATGGAACAGAATTAAATCAAGGTGAAGTTAAGATGCCCAGCTTTGAATCAGGTACGGACCTCTCCTCTCTGAACTGCAATAAAACGTAATGATGATAAATAGAATCTGTTGACATAAAGCTAGTTTTACAGCGGTTTCATTAACTTTTCTGTTGTGTTTACAGAAGATACCAAAGACACAGAGGTCCCTGCTGTACCTCAGAATAGTCAGCTGACGTGGAAACAGGGCAGACAACTCCTCAGACAGTGAGTACTCTACTGACAGCACACACAGCTTACAGGGCCTCGCATGCAGCTACCATGCTAACACACTTACTTATAGCTCAAGATGAATTCCCATCCGGGCCTGCATCTCAGAATAGGAGTGCTGGTCTAGGATCAGGTCCCCCTTGTCCATGTCATCTGATTCCTTATAATCTAAAAGGTCAAACTGATCCTAGAGCAGCACCCAGCTCTTGAATTGTTAGCTGCTACTGCACTGTTGGAGCTAGGAACACAAGCTTTTCGCAACACCCGCAATAACATCTGCTAAATATGTGTATGTGACCAATACAATTTGATTTGAGATGCTTTAGGAATACGTGCCCAGGTTTACTTAGTTAGCTAAGTAATTTTTATGTGTAATTCTCTGTTTCTGTCCCAACAGATATCTTCAGGAAGTAGGTTACACGGACACAATACTAGATGTGCGGTCTCAGAGAGTGCGTTCGTTACTGGGCCTGTCCGGCTCAGAGCAGAATGGCTCGGTGGAAAACAAGAACCTGGATCAGATCCTTAATGGAGGGGAGTCTCCAGCCAAACGAAAGGGACAAGATATGAAAAGGTAGGTAGTAAGGCCTCCTCTGATCATGCATACTGCCAATCACTTCAGTGAAGGTCTGAAGGAATTGGTGTTATCCAACTGACACAATGTTGCTCACTTTGCCTGACAACTGAAATCACTCTCTTCACTTTTCCTGGCAACTTCCCAGATAGCAGATTTCTGATGGATTCTGTACATTCTGCCTCTGTGCTCAGAACAGTATGCTCTGAATAGCATTAGATGCATCATCCAGACCTGTGCCATGTATGTGACTAATCAAATCATCCACAGTGACGCATTGCTCTAAATAGTTTTCTACCTGTTTTACTAGGAATCCAGGAGATGTTCTGGAAACATTTAACTTCTTAGAAAACGCAGAGGACAGTGATGAAGATGACGATGAGGATGGAGACCTGATGGAGGATATAGACAGTGGCAAACACACAATAAAAAAGCATAAGATAAAGGTGAAACCCTCTTTGCTACAGACAATTACATCTGGTCATAAGTGAAAAGACCATTCCTAATGTTCTAAATGTACTGCCGCTGTCATCTCTGTGTAAATGGTTGTAATAATGTCTTACTAAGACCAAAGTAGTGCTTAGCTCGACACTAGACTGGTATCCTCAGACCTGATTTATAAATGTTGATATTCATCAAGAGAGAACCTTTAAATGCCTGCTGTGTAAAATAAGTCAACACAGTTAAATTGGTACAAGAGCATATGGAACGGAAATAACAACCACTAGTCTCCTAAAATGGAAAATAAAAGTATTGTGAAGTATACTTTTATTTTACAAGTATTGTATGAACTATATATCTGATAATCCCACTGTGCCAGACCTGGTGACTGACTGTGTTTGTTCTCTGTCCAGGTTGGGAACGAGGGCCTGGCCTCTGACCTTCCAGATGACCCCGACACGGAGGAGGCTCTGAAGGAGTTTGACTTCCTGGTGAATGCCGAGGACGGAGAGGGAGCAGGGGAGGCCCGGAGTTCAGGGGACGGGACCGAATGGGGTAAGAGGATATCAGATACCTAACTCACTAGCTGCTGAGAGCTATCTTATAGATGTAAAGTCCCCTTATAAATCGATAGCCCTGGTTCCCACGGACACAGAGTATATTTTCTGAGCCTGTGTGACATAGGATGTGAAATCTGAAACCACTTGAAGCTGGGATGTCCCTCCTACCATTTCATTTGCTCTTCTGACTGTCCATCATCTCCAGCCACTAACAAAGCACATGCCTGCAATCGTTACATTGTAGCGCAGAGTGGTTTCATCATGGTAGCACATTCAGAGATCGATTTATAGCCATTCATCTAAAATAATTAATAGATTTTTAAACAAAAAACCCTTGCTGTTTGTCATAGATGGACAGGATTAATATTAGAGCAAAGGCGAGTTCCTAACGAGTTCAGGAAGCCAAGCTAGAGCTCTGTGAGATGTTCACAGCAATGGGGGCAGATGTTTTGATCAAGAGACCTTGATCAATATATGCAAATGTTCTCTAACACTAAACATACAAATATGTATTTTACAGTTATACGGAAGGTGAAATCTTATAGTTAGTAGTTTTATAATTTGATTGTACTATATTTTGAAAGCGTATGTCATTTCAAGCCTTATTCATACAGTTTTGTTGAATAGGAAATTACATCATCTAAAATACTGTATTTCATATTTGTAGTGTGTACTTGAGCTTGTGTCCTCAAAAGTGACTACACTTCCGCAATTTATAACTATTTTTAGCAAAAAGGTGAGATTTAAACCTTTCTTGGAGTATTCAGCATTACTAGTTATTGTTTATGGCCCTCTCATGATAAATAATAACTTTTGGGGATTACGTAGATTACATTTTCGATTACATTTAGTTACATTTAACTCCCTTGAGTCGATTGACGCACCGGTGTTATATAACAAAAATATCCCCATCAAAATCTGTCAGAGATATCAGTTTCTTTCGCATTGGATGCGTCTCAATCCACCGCATCCGGCAGTGTTGCACCTCCACATCTGCGGTGAAAGGTGGCAGATCTAGAGCAGTATTTGTCAGACCATGAGAAAACGTCAGAACGGTTTGACGTACAAACTAATGGGACCCCACTGTGGAAAGGGGAGATTCTCACGAACACAATGTTGTTCTCCGTGACCCCCACAAGTGTCACAGGACTTGTCTGAAGCTAACCGGTACAGGTTTTAAAAAACGAATGGAAGTAAGAAGGTAGTTTTGTGCCTACCCAAAAAAAGGGGTTAAATGTGTGTTATATATGTGTGTATATATATACACACACACACACCCACACACACACACACACACACAGTTGAAGTCGGAAGTTTACGTACACCTTAGCCAAATACATTTAAACTCAGTTTTTCGCAATTCCTGACATTTAATCCTAGTAAAAATTCCCTGTCTTAGGTCAGTTAGGATCACCACTTTACTTTAAGAATGTGAAATGTCAGAATAATAGAGAGAATGATTTATTTCAGCTTTTATTTCTTTCATCACATTCCCAGTGGGTCAGAAGTTTACATACACTCAATTAGTATTTGGTAGCATTGCCTTTAAATTGTTTAACTTGGGTAAAACGTTTCAGGTAGCCTTCCACAAGCTTCCCACAATAAGTTGGGTGAATTTTGGCCCATTCCTCCTGACAGAGCTGGTGTAACTGAGTCAGGTTTGTAGGCCTCCTTGCTCGCATACGCTTTTTCAGTTCTGCCCACAAATGTTCTATAGGATTGAGGTCAGGGTTTTGTGATGGCCACTCCAATACCTTGACTTTGTTGTCCTTAAGCCATTTTGCCACAACTTTGGAAGTATGCTTGGGGTCATTGTCCATTTGGAAGACCCATTTGCGACCAAGCTTTAACTTCCTGACTGATGTCTTGAGATGTTGCTTCATTATATCCACATCATTTTCCTTCCTCATGATGCCATCTATTTTGTGAAGTGCACCAGTCCATCCTGCAGCAAAGCACCCCCACAACATGATGCTGCCACCCCTGTGCTTCACGGTTGGGATGGTGTTCTTCGGCTTGCAAGCCACCCCCTTTTTTCTCCAAACATAACGATGGTCATTATGGCCAAACAGTTGTATTTCTGTTTCATTACACCAGAGGACATTTCTCCAAAAAGTACGATCTTTGTCCCCATGTGCAGTTGCAAACCGTAGTCTGGCTTTTTTATGGCGGTTTTGGAGCAGTGGCTTCTTCCTTGCTGAGTGGCCTTTCAGGTTATGTCGATATAGGACTCGTTTTACTGTGGATATACACTGCTCAAAAAAATAAAGGGAACACTTAAACAACACAATGTAACTCCAAGTCAATCACACTTCACTGATTGACAATAAATTTCACATGCTGTTGTGCAAATGGAATAGACAACAGGTGGAAATTATAGGCAATTAGCAAGACACCCCCAATAAAGGACTGGTTTTGCAGGTGGTGACCACAGACCACTTCTCTCAGTTCCTATGCTTCCTGGCTGATGTTTTGGTCATTTTTGAATGCTGGAGGTGCTTTCACTCTAGTGGTAGCATGAGACGGACTCTACAACCCACACAAGTGGCTCAGGTAGTGCAGCTCATCCAGGATGGCACATCGAGCTGTGGCAAGAAGGTTTGCTGTGTCTGTCAGCGTAGTGTCCAGAGCATGGAGGCACTACCAGGAGACAGGCCAGTACATCAAGAGACGTGGAGGAGGCCGTAGGAGGGCAACAACCCAGCAGCAGGACTGCTAACTCCGCCTTTGTGCAAGGAGGAGCAGGAGGAGCACTGCCAGAGCCCTGCAAAATGACCTCCAGCAGGCCACAAATGTGCATGTGTCTGCTCAAACGGTCAGAAACAGACTCCATGAGGGTGGTATGAGAGCCCGACGTCCACAGGTGGGGGTTGTGCTTACAGCCCAACACTGTGCAAGACGTTTGGCATTTGCCAGAGAACACCAAGATTGGCAAATTCGCCACTGGCGCCCTGTGCTCTTCACAGATGAAAGCAGGTTCACACTGAGCACATGTGACAGACGTGACAGAGTCTGGAGACGCCGTGGAGAACGTTCTGCTGCCTGCAACATCCTCCAGCATGACTGGTTTGGCAGTGGGTCAGTCATGGTGTTGGGTGGCATTTCTTTGGGGGGCCGCACAGCCCTCCATGTGCTCGCCAGAGGTAGCCTGACTGCCATTAGGTACCGAGATGAGATCCTCAGACCCCTTGTGAGACCATATGCTGGTGCGGTTGGCCCTGGGCTCCTCCTAATGCAAGACAATGCTAGACCTCATGTGGCTGGAGTGTGTCAGCAGTTCCTGCAAGAGGAAGGCATTGATGCTATGGACTGGCCCGCCCGTTCCCCAGACCTGAATCCAATTGAGCACGTCTGGGACATCATGTCTCGCTCCATCCACCAACGCCACATTGCACCACAGACTGTCCAGGAGTTGGCGGATGCTTTAGTCCAGGTCTGGGAGGAGATCCCTCAGGAGACCATCCGCCACCTCATCAGGAGCATGCCCAGGCGTTGTAGGGAGGTCATACAGGCACGTGGAGGCCACACACACTACTGAGCCTCATTTTGACTTGTTTTAAGGACATTACATCAAAGTTGGATCAGCCTGTAGTGTGGTTTTCCACTTTAATTTTGAGGTTGACTCCAAATCCAGACCTCCATGGGTTGATACATTTGATTTCCATTGATAATTTTTGTGTGATTTTGTTGTCAGCACATTCAACTATGTAAAGAAAAAAGTATTTAATAAGATTATTTCATTCATTCAGATCTTGGATGTGTTATTTTAGTGTTCCCTTTATTTTTTGAGCAGTGTAGATACTTTTGTACCTGTTTCCTCCAGCATCTTCACAAGGTCCTTTTGCTGTTGTTCTGGGATTGATTTGCACTTTTCGCACCAAAGTACATTCATTTCTAGGAGACACAACGCGTCTCCTTCCTGAGTGGTATGACGGCTGCGTGGTCCCATGGTGTTTATACTTGCGTACTATTGTTTGTACAGATGAATGTGGTACCTTCAGGTGTTTGGAAATTGCTCCCAAGGATGAGCCAGACTTGTGGAGGTCTTGGCTGATTTCTTTTGATTTTCCCATGATGTCAAGCAAAGAGGCACTGAGTTTATAGGTAGGCCTTGAAATACATCCACAGGTACACCTCCAATTGACTCAAATGATGTCAATTAGCCTATCAGAAGCTTCTAAAGCCATGACATAATTTTCTGGAATTTTCCAAGCTGTTTAAAGGCACAGTGAACTTAGTGTATGTAAACTTCTGACCCACTGGAATTGTGAATAATCTGTCTGTAAACAATTGTTGGAAAGATTACTTGCGTCATGCACAAAGTAGATGTCCTAACCGACTTGCCAAAACTATAGTTTGTTAACAAGAAATGTGTGGAGTAGTTGAAAAACGAGTTTTAATGACTCCAACCTAAGCGTATGTAAACTTCTGACTTCAACTGTAGTTTTTTTAATTGTTTATAAATATTTTATATACACTACCGTTCAAAGGTTTGGGGTCACTTAGGAATTTCCTTGTTTTTGAAAGAAAAGCAATGTTTTTGTCCATTTTTAAAATAACATCAAATTGACTCCGGGATGAGGACCTTCTAGGCAGAGTTGCAAAGAAAAAGAGACATCTTAGACTGGCCAATAAAAATTAAAGATGGGCAGTCTGCGATATGGTTTTTTCTTTGTAACTCTGCCTAGAAGGCCAGCATCCCGGAGTCGCCTCTTCACTGTTGACGTTGAGATTGGTGTTTTGCGGGTACTATTTAATGAAGCTGCCAGTTGATGACCTGTGAGGCGCCTGTTTCTCAAACTAGACACTCTAATGTATTTCTCCTCTTGCTCAGTTGTGCACCGGGGCCTCCCACTCCTCTTTCTATTCTGGTTAGAGATAGTTTGCGTTGTACGAGATCTTCAGTTTCTTGGCAATTTCTCGCATGGAATAGCCTTCATTTCTCAGAACAAGAATAGACTGACGAGTTTCAGAATAAAGTTATTTGTTTCTAGCCATTTTGATTCTGTAATCGAACC